TAGATTGGAAATCAAATGAATTGGGTTTAGCCGCAAGTCTCTAAAGACGGCTAAACCCAAATGTTTCTAGTTCTAGGTTTAATGTTAGTTCTAGTGATAGTGCTAGTGTAAAACTAGAACTAACACTATACCTAGAACTAGAAACATTTGGGTTTAGCCGTCTTTAGAGACGTGCGGCTAAACCCGAATGATTCTAGTTCTAGGTCTAGTATTAGTTCTAGTTTTAGTTCAATATCAATGTAAAATCTAGTGCTTATGTGCGCTACCTAACACTGTCACTAGAACTAACACTAGACCTAGAACTAGAAACATTCGGATTTAGCCGTCTTTAGAGACGTGCGGCTAAACCCGAATGATTCTAGTTCTAGGTCTAGTATTAGTTCTAGTTTTAGTTCAATATCAATGTAAAATCTAGTGCTTATGTGCGCTACCTAACACTGTCACTAGAACTAACACTAGACCTAGAACTAGAAACATTCGGATTTAGCCGTCTTAAGAGACGTACGGCTAAACCCGAATGATTCTAGTTCTAGGTCAAGTGTTGGTTCTAGTTCTAGTGTTATTCAACCTAAGTATTGTTCGTGATACTTGGGGCGGCCGACGTCTTCGAAGTCGGCCGAGATTTTTCTTATACCACAAACAATACTTAGGGCGGCCGATATCTTTCGAATATACAACAATTTACCGCTGAATAACAACTAAAACTAGAACTAACACTAGAATCAACACTAGACTTAGAACTAGAAGCATTCGTGTTTAGCCGTCTTAAGAGACGTTCGGCTAATCCCGAATGATTCTAGTTCTAGGTCTAGTGTTGGTTCTAGTGACAGTGCTAGTGTTAGATCACTAGAACCAACTTAAGACGGCTAACCCCGAATGTTTCTAATTCAATAAAAAATATATAAAAATCTTGTTCTAAATAGTAATTAAAACTAGAATTATCACAAGCATTAGAACTATATAACTATATATATATTTTCTTAAAAAAAAAGTTGTAATTAAAATATAATTTCTTTAAATGAATAGTGATTAAAAATAAATTAAGTAGTGTATTAATTAAATACCCCGCCTGTATTTAGTTTAGTGTAAAAAAAAGTAAGGTGATATCACTATATAAGCATGGAAATGGGAAATTTCATGGCCTTGCACAACCGGCAAAGAAGAACCGGTCCGAAGCGGCCATCTCTGGTCGTCTAAGATCGACGTTTATTACAATAAACCTATGGAATGATCAATTAATTATTACCATGGTCGGGCGAACAGCTGATTTTGTGCGCTATTTTTTTTGCATCCTTTCCCCTACATTAAGTTTGACTTTCTTTTATGTTTTTGCCGTCGTAGAAATGCGGTTTCTATCTCGGCGACAATAATCGATTTAAGAAAATAAAATATAAAATAGAATTTTTCCGGGATTATTAAATAGCGAAAGCGCATAACCGCTTTATATCTTATTAATATAAATTGTCCATTGTCGATTGAGTGTTATTACTCAAAAAAAATTTCTCAAGAATTTATTAATAAATTGTAGAGAAAGTTTTTTTTTAATACACACATTCTCTTTGTTAAATATTTTCGATTTTTATTAAATTAGATTTTTTATTAATCGTAGAAATTTGAAAGATATTAAGGAGGATTAAGAAGAAAAAGAAGAAGAGAGGGCAGAGGATCTAAAAATTCCCCGCCGCACCGCCCGACAGACGAAATGAATCACCAGTTCGAAACGCGGCCCCCGGAAAAATAAACCGAGGCGATTTAAATTTAGAGAACCTGTTAGCGGCCCCACAATCCTAATGTACATTTTCACAGAAACAATGCAAGTGAAAGTCGCGGCCGTCGTCGTCGACGTCGTCGTAGTACATTTGAATATTAACGCGATCGGGACGCGTTTCCATGCATGCAAGTGGAAGTCATTACGACACTTTTTTCAACGTAACATACCTCTCAAAAGATAGTTTAAGTACATATTGTAGCATGTTATTGACAAAAAGCAACATTAATCTCGATGAGCAGATTAAAAACGCAACAAAAGATAAAAAGCGATTCATCGTTCTCGATCTTGATCATTCTTGATGATATAACGGATTACAGTTATTTGTACTTTTTATGTAATTGGAGAGGCCGGAAGCAGATAGAAGAGATATTGCAAAATTGTGCAAACTTCAATTTGCGCGTAATTAAATTATTTTCTAACCAACTTAGCCCAAGAAACGCGCATATTGTGGATATGCCTAAAGCAACACGTGACCGCGCAAACGTGGGCGTACTAACATGTGATGATTAACGCTTCGTATATCATAGGCAGGGGCGTGGGCTCATGCATTATGCATCTGGAACTCTGGCGACTGCACCAACAGAAAAATAGACGTTTTCCAACCTTTTTTCTTTTTTTTCGCTATAACCATGGATGGTAACGTTATATTCACACGTTACATTTTCTTTGATGGCCACCTTGATAAGAATTCTATGTTGTAAGTCACAATTAAGGCATATTTTTCAAGGTTTCTCAATAACGAGTAAACAATCCGCTAAGAATTTTATTTTTATTCTTTGCTTTCTTTTATGTCCTTTCTTTATTACAGATCTTTGTGCCGCACTTTTAAGGCACGTATTGAGATTTGAGAGCTCTCCCAAGAGTTTAAAAGGAAAAGGGAAGATTATGAATTTGAAAAGGAAGCTTCAACATGAATGGGAGAGGCTGAGAGGGCTCCCGTTGTGTATTCATCAATTATCCACTATGTGATCTTTTCGAAAAACATTAGAAATAAATCTGAAGACGATTTAGACTGAGATAATGAGAAGAGGAAATAGTGACTACAAGATTGGAATTTCATTATGTTAAACCTCAATTAAATCGTTTTACCAATGACGCATAAACAGAGTATCAAGTTGTTTATTTCCTTTATAAGTTCTGTCATTTACTAAGAGGAACTCTAGGAATACCAGAACATCTTGATTTCCAAGTTAATGTAGAAGAAAGATTTTGCCAGAAGTAGGAAAATGAAAGTCAAATGGAAATCTTATATTTTTATGGAAATAATAAAACTTTTTTCTGCTCTTTGTTTCATCAGAACAGTGTAGCATAACGCAAATGTGCAACCAAAAATACAGTTAATACAGAAATCCCCAGAAAAAGGGTCTTAACCAAAAAGGTTTTTTTGTACCTGCAACTCTAAGAAGGTAAAATTGTAAATATATCATAATTGCTGCGTATTACAGCTTCTTTATAAAGTCAAAATTCGTATTCATGAAAATACCTTTCAAAGAAGTCTACCCAGGTAATTATTAAACAAAGAAATCCGAACCCCATCGAGTTATTCTTACTACTTTTCCAATAAGTGGAAATAAATAACTGGACAACAATTTGGACTTTATAAATCTATATTATAAAAATATAAGGAATGAGATCTTGCGGACTAAGGAATAGTATACGTTTACGTTAGAATGTAACAAAATACGTTCGGTAATATGATTCTTGTAAATGACCGACTACCAGAGACCACAGTACGAACGTGAAATGTATATTTTTAGAGTACGTTTGTTGTTTCGGTGCTGAAGAGAGCAGGAAATCCCATCGCCATTAACGTTATTTCCGCGAGGCCGTCGCACAAAACAATGAGACAACGGCCATTTACTTCCTTGCTTTTGTATCATTTGGTTATTAAAATCTAACATTATTTATTTTACAATACATGAGTTAAAAAAGCATTTTATCCAACAATGAAAACTTAAAAGATGATAAAACTTATCGGGAATTATCTAAGGAGTGAAAATTCCATTGAATTTTATGTATTCTCGGTAAGTAGAACCCGCATACACTTTATACAGCCACCATTATAGAACAATATTGAGATAAAACTTAGTACATTGTAAACAGGCTGTTATCAAATTCCAAGATAAAAATAGTAAAGCGTCTCTTGTTTCGATGTGCACGTTTTGTGTAGTTACGTAAATCTCAATGTAAATTGTACGGATATAGTCTCATAATATATATGGGACCATTGTTATTTCGGCAATTGTTGCCTAATGAAAGTGTTTATCCTCTGGAAAATTGGGCTGAGTTAGATAAAAAAAATTTAGAAAGTTAAAAACAATTTTTTTGCTCAATTCGCGATTCTAGAGCAAACATGAAAAATCGGCCTTGCTCGAGGTAATGCATACAAAACACTTGAAGAATAAAAAAAATGATATTGCTTTACAGTTACTCAACCTTGAATTAGAACCACTTTTTTGCATAACATTTTTTTTTAGTTTTATTTCAATATTTTTTACGTTTTATAATATTGATGCAAGATTCACACTTCCTGTTGCGTCAACTTTTATCACAACATAATCTCCTCGCATCCTTTTATTTTATATTAAGATCCTTGACATTGTTTAAATAGGAATTTTCTTAAAATATGTTAATTATAATCGATTGAACTATGTCAATGCTAATCCTTGAAAGTATTTCTGTAACATATTAGTCATCGAAACGATTTGAGAAACGAATAAAAATGTAATGTATTACGATTAGTGATTCAATTATGTCGAAAATAACAAATCTCACAAATATAGCAACGATAAAGTTAACAAACTAGTTTGAAATCTAGTAGTACTAGATTCAGATTAACATAAAAATGATAATCCCTAATTACGTCGTTCACCATGACTATTTATACCTTCAGAACTTTCCGACGACCTAAATCCGGCTTAATACGATTTTAATTACTCCACCGAAGATACATGGAATACCAAAAATCCATTTCGAAAATTTTATATTTTATTAATTAAAAACGGATTTTAAAGATACGGTTTTCATAAAACAACAACAAGAAAACAATTCAACTCAACTCAACTCGTTCCAAAACTAATTAGTCTTTAACAATGGAGAATGAATGGAATATGAAGGAAATCTTGAGAAAAGTGTTTCTCTTTGTTTGAAACCGTTCGCAATCTTAAATCTCGTTTTAGAAATGTTTTGATTTTAAACTGAATAAAAAAAAAATTGTTTTTGTAAAAGTTAAAAGGAAATTGCTTTGATTGGTAGACAGGGAAATCGCAAACCAAGACGACATCCTGAGCGGGATTGCGTTACCTACGTTGTAATTAGGCGAATTGGTCGAAGTTACGTAACTCTGAGCCGGATTGTTGAATACGCTTTTCACGCGAGCAAGTTAAGAGCAACTAAGAGGTTTTTTTTTAAACGCGTATTCCGTATAGCTAATATTCCGAGGAACATGTAGAGACCTAGCCGGCTGCAAGGTTCAACGTTCGAACTCAACCTCGACAACATTCTCAATGTATAGTGCCACTCTTGATGGAAACTACATGTGATATACCATCTAGTCCGCTTTTGATACCTCTTAATGATATGGAGATGTAGAGGTACCTTCATATACTCCATCATTCCTTAGTAATTCTTTCTTTCTCAACAAAGGGGTTGATGCATTTTAATTCAAAATACTATTTTAACATTAGAAATAATATGTAAAAAATTTGTATTAATAACATATATTGCAGAGAAGATAAGGATATTAACAGTCTGAAAGTGACGTTATTGCACCAGGAGTAGAAACAGTAACAGCAGGAAGTAGCCGCTTTGGCGGGGCTAATATCACTTAACGATTTTGTTACCGTTGGACGTTTTTCTCTTTTCTTGAAGAGCCGTATACCATATGGCCTCCGGATTCTAAAGAGGCTCCGGAACGGTTGGTATCGTCCCGGTACGTATTGGTGATTTTTCGGCGTTCCAAAGGCCTGGGGAAAGAACACCCTTAAAAGGTCCGCACCTGCCTGCGACGACCTTGAAACGGCCGTGGCAGCTGGCTTACATAGGATGTGAATCATATATCATTTATTGGCCCCGAGCTCCTACGGTCAAGACAAAAACGCTGACCCCTCTTAATCCTAAGATGCCTTTCAGATACACTCATAGATTTTTTTATGCATTTTACGAATATTTTTATAATACCTTAAATTTAATTTTTTTTAATACTTATATTTATTGTATTGTGGTAAATTCCGATACTCGGTATTGTAAAAGAGATGTGACAACGACGACCTTGGTAATAGTCGGCGCATTCCAGGCGTGCCTTTTTGCCTCGATTTTTACCGTTGCGGGCGCACGAGCTCGAGCCGCCTGACGAATTGGCACAATTACGCATCAAAGAGGCATGAGACCGCAAGAGAGGCATCGTGCCATTTTAGGGAGCCCCCTTCTATCGATTGAGAGCCGCGTGAAAATTAAGAACAGAACGCAATGTTCCACCCAGCCAGGTGTATAAATACAACCGGCAAAAGCGCGTTCCCAGTTACAACGATTGAAAATACATGTGCTCGCATTGAAGTCGATGTATAAGTTGAAATCAAAATTAATAAAAACAATTAATTATATTTATCGTGTCTTCTTCTACGCTTATTTGATATGGTAATAATGATTTCACCTTCGCTAATTCGTTTCGATACTTTCCCCCGATTGAGAAATCGCTGCCCCATTTAATTTCGGTTTCGCACAAAAATTTTCTTTCGTTCATTTCACTTTTAGTCACCTGCCGAGTTTCCGAACACAGGATGCGAATCTCGTTAAGATTCCAAATTAGTTTTAGCCATTATGTTGCTTTTTAACCCTTCGCGATAATGGATTTTGTACTTCGAGCCCCTTGCTTCGTTCAATTTCCTAGATTGCTCGTTATTATGGAATACAGTGGATATGATTACTTTGTATAATACGTTATTACGCTAGGAATTGCACCATTATACGTAAGCACTTCATTCGAACTTAAATAATAGGGCCTCGCGATGGCAATAAACCAGCAGAGTTTGGTGTTAAAATTAAAACGTTTGTCCTCGCCATTGTATCCATTTAGCGTCTTTAGACCGCATGTGCCATAGGAACAGTTCATACAACAATTAACGGTTTGTTCTTTTGTTGCAGCCATCCATAATATAAAGTGAACGGTATGATGGAACCGGAAAGCAACGCTGAGAAGAAGGTATTATCCGAGCATTAAGGCTGTTACTGGTTTACTTTAACAAAAGAAACAATAGACTTAATGACCATAACATTTCATATCTCTTTATTTTTCCTCGATTTAGGGTAACACCGAGTATCAACCGACGAAATGTCGGGTGACGAAGCCTCCGCCGCCGAAACCGGCCGCAAATCCAATGCAATTCGTTAAGGTAGCGCCCTGTCCATTAATTCAAAAGGCTCAAGACCAGGTGAAAAAATTCGAGGAGACCAAAATTGCACGGCAAGAAGTGCGAGAAGAAGCGGAAGATTGGCAGCTGGTACGTTCTAATAAAATCCACCTTCCCTCAATAAAACCAAATTTGTTTTAGAACTTAGATAGTTGGAGGAACAACCGGAGAAAACGTCAGGAGCACATCATCGAAAGGGTGGTCGAGGTGAAAAAGAATGAGCTGGAAGACCACGATCGAGCCAAAAGGAAGAACAAGACGTTTAACGAGATGGTTGAAGAGCGGTAGGTGCAAACTGAGCCTTTATTGACGTGACGCATTCCGCGATCATTTTTTATAGCAAAGGAAGGCAAAGGCTGAATATCCCGATTTACAACGACGAAGACGGTAACGACCTCAGCGACTACGGCATCGGCAGCAGCAGCTCCAAGACGAACAGCATCAAAGACGTGGACACCGACGACAACAGCAGCGTGCTGGACGAAAAAGACTACGCCCACAGCAACAAGGAATCGAGCAACTCAAACCAAAGTCAAAGTGAAGACGAAACCAATACCAAGACACCAGTCGAAAAGGACGAGGAGCAGACCCCGGCCAAGCGATACGTACCTCCAAAGATACAACTCCGTTCTAGTTTCGAATTTTTGAAGAGGAACGCCGCCCCCGAAGAGACCCTCGAGCCCAAAGAACAATACACGTACGAAGGAGCCATCCAGGATTACCGAACAAGGATTCGAACAAAAATTAATTTCGACGAATCGGTTTTTAACAAATCAACCCAAGACTACTCGAAAATTAGGGAAGAAGTCGAAAGCGTCGTGCCAAAAGGTAACATATTCAAACGTAAAGTCCTCTTCGAATCCGCAGAAAGCCGAAACGTCAAGGAGTTCGAGCAAATCCTTCCCAAAGGGAGCTTCTCCAAACGCAGGGAGATTTTTGAAGGCGACGACCTGATCAAGAAGACCAAAGAAGGTGAGTGCATCATACCAAAAGGAAGCATTTTAAAACGAAAAGAAATCTTCGAAAGGGAAGACTACACACAATCAAAAGAAGGTGAGTGAGAGGTACATCATAAACTTAAACCAATTTAATTTATGCCTAGATTTGATGTGTGAAAAAGCCCTACCCGATTTAGACGACTACAACAGCATAACGCCCTCCAACTACGCCCCATCCACTTCCTCCACCGATCTAATGACGATGTCGTCAGATAGAGAAGATAGCGGGATTCAAACGTCCGACGTTTCTTGCTCGGTGAGCCAATCTGATGAGCAGTGCGAGGAAATCGAGACAATACCTAAATGCATCGAACAATTAAGTGTTGTCAAAGAAACAGAAAACCACCCGGAGGTGAATGAACCGAACGAACTAGACGAATCCAAAGAAGCCGAAACGTACCAAAGCGCACCCCAACAAACTGTAGATAATCTAATCGGTAACCAAAATCCGTCTTCTTCCTTCGAAAATTTAAAGACAATCATCGAGGAATTTATTACACTCGAAATCAAAAACGCCTTACCACCCCTTAAAATAATAAAACCGCAATTAGAACCCAAACCGCCACAAATCATCTATGAAAACGTCGATTTGAGTGGAAATTTAGATTTCATGAATCCTGCTACTAAACTCGAACCGCCCAAGGTGAAACCACCCCCACCTCCTCCTGAAGATCAAGTTGACGGCGACCAGGAAGCCGAATGCGAAAACAATTTTCGCCGCATCAATTCCACTAAACGAATCAAAAAAGAAATCCACATCAAACGATCCAGCTTTTTGGGGCTCGATGAACCCACTGAGGATCAAATCCATCCAGAAGTTTGCATCGACAAGCCACCGGATATCAACAGTTTTCTTGAAAAAGAAAAATGTCTTTATAAAAAATTGCAAGATAGTCGCGGTGGTAGTCAAGATTCTGGATTGGAGATTGAAAGAGGCCGACTATCCAGCGATACTTGGTGCAGTAGCATCGCTGATTTTAGTACCCCGATTCATGAACGACAAGATAGCGAAGTAAATATTCTTTTTTATTTGGTTTATTTAATTTAAGTAAATAATAATTTTAGCAAACTAGTAGTTTTACATCGGAAGAAGATGAGATTACGAAAAAAGAACGTGAAATAATCGAATTGGTGGAGAAAGAAGAAAAATCACGCGATAGTGATTATTCCAGCCAAACGACGCTAAGTCCAGTTAATACCAAGTGCATTTCAACCGATACCTACGATACGTTAGGTAGCGAAAAATTTGACCGTCCATATTTTCCTATGGTAAATATATTTCATGATTTCAACTAAAATTAGAACTAACACTAGAAACTTTCGGGTTTTGCCGTGCGTCTTTAAAGAAAAGCTTCGTTTTTTGCACTTTAATGGATTTTATTTATTGTTTTTTTCTCAACCGGTTTCGCTATATTTACATAGCATCTTCAGGAGAGTTACGTCAATTTGTTACAAAAGTATACTTTAGCTTGATTCATTTGGTAATTCCTTGTTTATTTCTATTGTTAAACTATATACAGGGTGTCTCAGCGAGACCGCTCATTAGACGTTTCTGTGGTTCTGGCCAAAATAAAAAATTGAGAATTCAGACTTAACTACTTCATTTTTTTAAATGGCACCCCCCATATTTTATTACTTAGTCGTCTTCGGCGTCTCATTTTACATCTTTTATACTCCATATGTCCTATGCCTAACATTAATAGTTTGAGAAATAATTACGGTTTTTTGAAAAATGCTCACATATCATATCGATATTAACCTAGTGTGCCATGGAAAACAAATGTTTAATGACTTATTGACAAACGTCAAAGTCTGATTTACGTTGTTTGATGCTTGTGAGTCTGAAACCAGATAAAATGGATATTAATAACGTAAATAATGTTTATACAAATAAAGAAATCCATAATTTATTTTTTGTGCATGAAAAGTGCGACAAACTTCTTAGTAGAACTTGCAGAATGTTTAATGAAAATTATCCGCATTTACCTCCGATGACAAAAGATAAATTTAGAAGAATAGAAGCAAATTTTTTGCATTTTGGACGAATTAATCACGTGTTAAACTGACCAAAAAATGTAGTAGATATGCAACGGAAGAGGTGAATGCCTTGGCTTATTTCGAGCCCAGTCCCAACACTTCAATTCGAGCTGCCAAAGAAGATCTAGAAATCATACTACGAATCGTCGCGCTTTTTATGCATACAAAATAAATTAAGAATTTCTTGATTTGTGTAAATAGTACTTTCGTTATTGTTATCGATTTTAACTCTTTTCAGTACTAATATTAAGGGACATAACAGATAATTATTTGCTCACATGCATCAAGTGAGGTAAACAAGTGAGTCTTTGACAAGAACTCATTGAGAAGGCTTGTTTTTCATGGCACACTAGGCTAAATATCCATATGATATGTGTGCATTTTTCAAAAAACCCTAATTATCTCCTAAACTATTAATGTTAGGTATGGGACATATGGGATATAAAAGATGTAGAATGAGACGCCGAAGACGACTAAGTAATAAAATATGGGGGGTGCCATTTAAAAAAATGAAGTTATGGTACTTCCAAATTTTGAAAAGTTAACGTGCCATAGTAAAGTGACCAAACATTCTAGACAGCCGTTCTCGGCACCAAAACATACTCCATCATGTTGTTTAAGCATATTCTGAATCCTAAATTGATATCCCAAAAATCGAGTGTTCTCTGATTTTTTGAATAAATGTCTGCTGGAGCAGATTTTTCTAGAAAAATTCGATTAACTCGAGAACGGCCGAATCAAATTGCAAAAACTAAACTTATTTATAAACCCTGAAAACAGACAAATCCAAATATGTAAAAATATACAGGGTGTTCCATTTAAAAAAATAAAGTAGGTGGCGACTTCCGGTATAACCGGAAGTGCAAGAAATCTGAAAATATTTTAGTCGAAGAGATCGTAATTGATAATACTTAAGTCTGAATTCTCAAATTTTTATTTTCGCCAGAACCCCAGAAACGTCTAATGACCGGTCTCGCTGAGACACCCTGTAGATGATATTTATTAAGTATGATTGAAGAGGATTAAAATTGTTTAAAAACGTGATGTGTCATGGAGCTCCATGTAAATATAGCGAAACCGGTTGAGAAAAAAAACAATAAATAAAATCCATTAAAGTGCAAAAAACGAAGTTTTAATTTATACACATAAAATGGAAAGAAAATCACCTAAAAATAAAAATTTTAAAGAAAAGGTTTGACGTTTCGGATGCCATGTTGCAACCTTCTTCAGAAACTGGTTCGAAATGAACCACTTTTCGAAGAAACTTCGAACCAGTTTCTGAAGAACGTTGCAAATAATTTTAGTTCAATTAACACCCTCCGTGAAGAAAGCCTTCGTACTTATAATTTTATGATTTATTTACAAAATTTTTTTTTGTAATAGAATACCTACAGGACCAATTTAGATGATGAAGACTCGGAAGTTTTACGGGTAGAAGCCGAACTGAAACAACTAGAATTAGAAGAATTTGAACGCCAACGCGAAAACATGTTATTCCGCGAAAAACTCCGCCAAAATAGACATTCATTAGAGAACATCTGTGATGCGAGGATCTATCCACAAACGTATAACGACAAAGTTAACTATCGAAAATCGATGCCTGAACTTCAAGTAGCTTCAGAGTACCGAAAACCACATCCTGAAGTTCCCAATTATCATCACCCATCACCGGAAATTGATTACCAATATCGCAAATCAATGCCCGATATTCAACACGCTTACAATCGATCCGTTTCAGATTATTGTAACAATGGAAGAATGAATATTGAGTATCGAAAAAAGTTGGGCAATAAAGAACAACACGAAACGGAGCGATTTGTTAATAAGTAAATTTTAAATTATTAATTTATTTAAATTAATATTTAAACTTATTTTAGATTAAATCCAATCGAAATGGATAACGTTCAACACGGTAACAAACAAGTGAGACCATTAACGAGGCATAGTTTACACGTCTTGAGTGCGGTTCCAAAACCTAGGCACAATGACAACTGGATAACACCAAAAGCTAACCCGGAAGTAAAAAGTTACAATCAGCATTGGTTATATCAGGTTAATCATTTAAAATAAATAATACAAAAAATATTGAGTTAAAATAAACAAATTTTTTATTAAGGAAGCGGAATTACGGCGAATATCGGAACAAAATAGTAATATGAGAAATTGGCAACAACATCAAGATATTGGTGATCAAAGGATATTAAATAGGGCAAATGGGGCCAACATGCCACCAACTCTTAGGAGGTAAGATATTTTAGGAGAAATGTGCTATAATTCTAGTAGATCAAAAAAATAATTATTTTAATAACACTATTAACGGGTTAATTTAATAACGTAAATATTTTTTCTTTCTTTCGGACATGGTGGAGGGTATAAAACGGAAAAGTTAGCTCGTATTTATCAAAATAACGTTAATATTTTTTATAGTGTTAGACCCGAACACAGTCCGACTAAAGAGTATTTTGAGCATCCTTATTTGGGCCATGCGCAACCGCTGTCGTATCCCCCGCACGTGCAACTAGCCGATAACCAAGATAAAATGCTTAGCGTTAGCGGAAAGAAAAAATGCTCGAATTGCAGCAACGAATTAGGTACTGTGAAATTATTATTTTTTTAAATATACTATTTCGAATATAGTATGTAGATAACAAAAAAAATTATATTATTAATTTAGTCATCTTTATCTTTTGATAATTCCTTCTTTGTAGAGGATTCAGCGGAATTTAATTGATCATTATACTCGAAAACGTTAATATAAGAATCCTGATCGTTAGATACATCGTGAAAATATTCAGGAATATCCGCATACTCGTTAGAATCCCACTCATCGGGAATAGAAACCGCCGTTTCAGATTGACCCGCATAATCTAATGATGAAGTTTCAGTTGTATTACCTTCATCAAAGTCCTTTTGTTGCCCCTTGTTGCATTGAAGTTCGGAAAATGGTGAAGCACTGACATAGGGACGTCTACGTTGACGACGTGAACGAATTACAGGTGATACTTCAGCTCCCACCTGCTAAAATGATTTAATAAAATGTATTTAATTCTTAAAAGAAATAAAAATCTAAATCTTACCACATCCGACACTCGTTCAAGCATGATCTTTGTTTGATAATTAAAGATGGCTTCCGATTTCTTTCGAGGCTCACACCCGGAAGTCGAAGGTTGTTCATCATCAATTTGTTCATCTGGTTTTGTCATAGAAGTGCTAATTTCTACGTTAGGTACTTCTTGTAATGCTTTTATATCAAAATCAATTGAATCATTAATTAAAATAACTATTAACGTTCATTTTGAAACGTGAACTTACCACGCGATTCTGATAAATATCGCCAAAAGTATCGTAGCGTTAAAATAATAAAACCAAAAGCAACTAGAGCAAATAAAACCGATTTTTTAGTTAAAATTATTAAATTTAACACAAAAATTACCTATCCAATGCCACATGGTGCGATGACACAACTCACCCTTTCGAAAATTTTCCACACTCAAACAAGCCAACTAGCGTACGCGATATTATCCAAAATGGCCACGCACGCGCAGTTATCGGCTGTGTACTATTTTGCGCCTTATTGCAAAGCTTTGAGTGACATCTATTAACTACTTAAAGCAAAATTGCGATTTGTTTAAACAAATTAACAAAATTTTATGATTAAGATGCTATATTTTCGTCGATTACACTCGAATTCGCGTATTAATCTTTTAGAAATACCTTTTCCATGTCTTAATCTTGTTAATAAATAACGGTAATGTCGATATCTACAAAATTTGCGAAACACTAAAATTCTTAACATATTTTAAAATTTCCTACAACTTTTGTTTTAAAAGTTTTTCTATAATATGTCCATATTCATCTAATTTTCATATTATATATTTATGCATCTGAGAGCAAAAGTGCTATATTATTTATTAAAATCTAATATGATTGCAAAAATTAATTAAAATCACAATTACTTGAAAAACTTTATTGAAACGAACAAAAACTTTATTTAACAAAAAAACTGTACTTAAAATATTATTAAATGTAACTCTGAAAAAAATAATTTTGATTTAAATCAAAACAAAAACTGAAATAATTTATGATAAACTGAAAGAAAAAATATTAATCTCTATCCCAAAATGCAGCATCGGGATCTTTCCGGACTTGTTTCTTAACCGCCTTTTCTCTCTTCACCGGCTTCCAAATAAGACTTTTTGGGTCATCATCGTGAAAGTCCAAACGTTGCTTATGTGGAGGAACCAAATGTTGATCCGCATAGAGGTCTTCTGGTGATTTGGGGGAACCACCTGGCTCGGGTGACCTTGATTTTTTAGCTTGGTCCCTTGGTGATTTTTTAGCCGTGGGTTGTTCGCTTTTAGATCTTTCTTGATGATGTCGTGAGTGCTGTCCATGTCGATCATATTGCTCATGATGTCCATATCGTTCGTGATGCTGAAAAGAAATTAACAGTAAAATAATCCAATTGTTTGAGTCTTAATTTATTTACCTGTGCTTCATGATGTCTTGTACTAGGAGCCGATTCTGGCCTATACGCCAATGGTTCTCCTTTGTATGGTGAATCATTATATGGCGCTTTTTCTTTATGGGCTGTTTCTGCACGATGTTGATGTTTGTGATGAGATGATTCTCCGGGTTTTGAATCGTGATGCTTGCGTCTATGACCCATATCAACCTTCGGTGGCGGAATTAACTGGGCGGTTCCCAATTTATTTACTTGAGCGGTCCACTTCTTCATTTTCTCAGCACTCTCCGGTCCCACAGGGAATTTTTGCATGACAAAGTCGATTAGTTGGACGCCTCTATCAAAGTCTTGGTTTGTGACCATTTCGTAAATCTCTTTGGAGGTTATTCTATCGTTCATATCCAGTAATAACCTAACCGCGTATTGTAAATCTGAATTTAATGTATCAATTTTCTTTTGGTAACGTGCTTCCTCCGCGGGATCCTTTTCAATAACGCTCGAAACTTGAGAGAGATAAGCACGTGAAGATCTTGCTGATCTGGCGACTGATATCGACGAAGCGGTGTCGGTTTCAAACTCACTTATAGTATTCTCAGTGTATATATCTTGGACTAAACCAGTGCCTCCCCTTTTAAAATAAACACGTTCTTTTCTATGTGTTTTGCGATACTTTTTCGGTTTCACTTGTTGTCCCTGTAAACCTGGATCTGCGATTTCCTCGTATTCTTCTGGATATTCTTCTGGATGTTCTTCTGGCATTTCCAAAGATTCTTCGGGGCGGTTATATACTCGAACAGTTTCGGTGAGCCATTTCCAACTATTCGATGATTTGTCAAATACTTGTACAGGTTTATCCATATATGTAAAAGTACCAGCTGTGTCATGAGACTCGCGTTGTTTTACAGCTGATCTTTCAATTTCCAAACTATCGATTTTTTGTTGTAACTGCTGCATTTCCCTTTTTTGTATTAGTTCTTGATCTTCACTTATTTCTATTGTTGTAGAACATTCTGTGCTTAGATCTACCGTGGTATTAGTAGCCATAGTACCATAATCACCTTCCAAAAAGATGTCATTGAACGGTAATTTTCGGTCATACTCCGACCTACCTGACTTAGATGTTTTAGATTCTTTTTTAGATTTTTTCTTAGATTCTTTTTTAGGCTTAGGAATAGCACCTTGAACTCGATAAGCACTTAAGTCTTTTGGTTTCTCCTTTGTTTCAGTCGATGTAAGATCCGAAGTCGAAGCATCTTCTATAGCAAAGTCTGCCAATGCTTGTGCTAATAACGATTTGGTCGCTTCTGCTTGCGGCGATTTATGGGTTAATATTTTCCCAATTATAACTTTACCAACGGCTTGCTCAATGTCGGAAGCGGCAGTACTAGCACTTTCAACTACTTTTTCTTCTTTTTTCTCGGCAATCGGTCGGTCCATTATGCCTTTAAGTGTGTTAATTTCTGTTAAAATCCTGTCAGTGTTTTCTTTATGTTTATATTCAGTCACAGAGCTAGCAGCGTCTGGTTCTATATGAGAAGAGGCGCTGGAGGTGGGTTGTAATAATGTGGAATGAGGACCTTTAAACGCTTCCAACGGAGCTCTCCCATATTTTACGCAAAAATTATTCCATTGACGGGCCAATTCCTGTTCGTGTTGTTGAAGTTCGTCGGGTTGAGTCCTTTGCACATCATCTCGTAATTCGCCAACAATATTCGCTTGTTTTGCAACTGCTTCCAAGTCTTTATTTAGAAGACTGTTACGTTGTAACCAAATCGTGTAGGGATCTGTGCCCCAATCTGCGCTGGTGCCAGGGAAAGGGAAACCGGGCGCTACTGGTTGTTCTTCTTGATGAAATCTAGGAGGTTGTGTATAGATCGTTTCCAAGACATTCAACCATTCATGAAATCTGCTTGTTATGTCCTCTCGAAATGCGCTGAAAAATGAGTGTGGTGACGATGCATAGGAATAATCTGCCCCTTTCTGATCTCGGTCACTTATATCGGTCACATCAGTCTGAGATCCTTCCGAAATGCTATATCCTCTCTCGGGAGATACAGTTTTGATCCATTCGGCTACAGCAGGCATTTTTTCTACTGGAAATACCTCGCTAGGTGTTTTCTCTGTTGTAGTTTCTGGCTCTGTTTGTGTTTCCACGTTGGTGGCTATCTCACTATTGACATCACTAGTCGTTGAAGCTAGCGATTTTCGCGGAATTGGAGTAGGTGGAGGGGGAGGAGCTCCCCCTTTTAGACCTGGTTTTTCAAATAATTTAGTTGATTTCACTCGAACCTCAGTGCGTATTTCGCCTAACGCTTTAACCATTTCGAATTCTTGTGGGTTAAGCTGTTCTTTGGCTAGAGCAGCTGCATCCTTTTCTTGAGCATTACCTACAAAATGTGTTGCTGTTGGTTTTTGAGCGATCATTTGAACTCTCGGCATGTTCTGTTTTATATCATAATTTTGCCATAATAGATTGTAAGGGTTGGTCGGGGGAAGCAGACATGGTTGTTTTCTTTGCCAAATTAATGGAGCAACTACTTCCGAAGATTCGGACTCTAAATCACCTTCAACCTCGGTGGTTGATTCGGCAGTTCCGCTATAATATGTTAGTGTGTCATATGGTAACAGATCTACTCCTTCTTGTTGTTCTAGAATATCTCGTTCTTCTGGAGTTTCTTGTTCTTCTGGAACTTCTTGCACTCCTTGTAAAGTTTCGTTCTCCAAGGACGATCTTCCAGGCGTTGATCTAGGCGTATATATGAATTCCGAATGATATTTTGAGGTGAATGTGCTTACGGTACGAACAACACTAATCGATTTGGTCAGTGTTCTCAATTGACTTCCTTGCATTATCTCTTGAATTCTAGCATCGACCATTTGATTTATCGCTGGCATAATGTTAAGAGATGATAACATTTCTACAGTTATCACTTGATTTAGATTTGTCGCTCTTTCTTGACTGCAAAATAGCTTTTCTTTACTACCAGAAGGCGAGATTCTATAAAGTGGTTGATGAACTAACGCCTGCGTTTGTGGAGTGGTGGTAATAGAGGTCGGATCAGAATCTTGATGCACATTTTCCACTGTAGTTGTTTCGATCGTAACTGAATCGCTGTCCTGGCTGACTGATAATGTAACATTAGTGTTTGTAGAACTCAAATCAGAACTAAAACTGGTGGTTATATCCGTGGCGTTTGAAGGTTTCTTTATGCGATGTTTATCTTCAACCTGTTTCTTATGCGAACGCCAATCGCATTTAAAGGCAAACGACGATAAAAATGGCGCAATAATATCTTTATAATATCCTTTATCTTCGTTTTGTTGCCCAGCATCGTGCAGATAATCGTCAGAAAATATAATTTTATGTGTTTTCGCCTGCCCTTTGTATATATATGGCGAGTTATTAAGAAGGAGTTTGTACATTCTTTGAGCACCTCGAGTACGTTGATAATAAACTTGAGATTGGTCTAACACTGCATTCTCCCAAATTCCTCCATGTAAATTAAGCCTATTCGCATCAGCACCATCTTGGCATAGATTTCCAGATACAAACAAACATTCTTCGAATCTATTTCTTAAAAATTTTTGCAGAGTTTCTCTGCAACCAATAATTAAGTTTGTGTCACTGTGTGCTCTCTTTCTATAATATTGATCGCTTTTAACTGTTGTAGATTGTACATCATCTGTATCGTCGCTATCTGAAGATTGTTCTTCTGTACACAGAGTCGTTGGGCAACCAATAACTAAGTTTGTGTCACTGTATGCTCTCTTTCTATAATGTTGATCGCCTTTAAGTGGATTCGATTTACTTTTTGAAGTTGTAGGTTGTACATCTGATGTGGTACTAATTCGTCGTGCTTCTTTACTTTTAGAAATTTTTTTGCAATCGTCATCTTCATCTGTATCTTCGCTAGCTGAAGATTTTTCTTCTTTACACGATGTCCTATATTTTGACTTTTCTTTTTTCTGTTCTTGCTTACTTTGGCTGTAAAACGCAACATTTTATTAATTAATCTCTATGGAGATAATTTTTTTTTGCTTACCTTGGTGATTGAGGTTTGGGCCCTTTTCCTACAGCCGGAATTGGGTCATTTTGTCCAAATACTTTCGGTAAAGGGTAGGTGGTAGAAGCCTGACCAAATTGGTATGAATCTAGTAAGGGGTACCCTTCGTCTTGGGTAAAACAGTATTTGGTGTCATCTATTGGTGCGTTGCGATCAGATTCTTGAGGTTCATACTCTGATGCGGTGACAGTTGAGGATTCCTCTCGCCATACACGAGGAGAATGAGTCGATCTGGTAATTTGGTCGTCATAATCAGAATATTCGGAGGGGCCGCCTCTGCTCCCTGTTGTTGTTCTATGTGTTGTTGCCGTCCTATGCGACGTTGATGTCCTATGGGATGTTGCCGTTCTATGGGTCAGTGCTGGCGATTCCACTCCTTGGGAGGTTCGAGTTAATGATTTAAAGGAGGATGTAGAATCCGGTCTAATTCTTTTTGGTTCTTCTTTTGGCGCCCGATACTCTTCAGCGGTGTGATATTTCGGCTTTTCCGGGCTTGGAGCAGGAGGGCCCGACATTTTTGGTTTTTCCAAAGTTTTCTTTGGTGCCGCACGAGGTCTCTTTAGAGATTTATCTTCGGCCACTTTCAATTCAGCAGGTGTACCGCGATGTTGTCTCTCTTGAGGAGGACTTGGTTTTACTTTCATGTGTCTTTCTTTATGCCGATGATCGGATTTGGGATGCTGTTCGGGCGTATCTGACAGTTGGGGAATTCCCATTGATTGCCCGATTTTACCGTGCAACTCCAGCAATTGATCTCGCGGCAATTGTTCTATTAAATTTTTATATATTTCTTCTGGCGATCGCTGTTCACTTATAGCAGGGCGTTGAATATGTATCTGAGGTTGGTCTATGTATTGGACATCAGTACGTTGGTAATCTATACGTTGTTCATGCTGGATGGGTGGTGGTCTATGTTGGCCGCGAACTTCTTGGTATTGAAGTGTTTGAGCACGTTGATAAGTAGGGTCTGTAAACCGATAATTTAGGTGCGGTTCTGGTAAATTAGCTTGAGCCATCTGATAAGGCTGAATTGTCATAGCTTGTTGATTATATTGAGGCAACACTGGTAATTGTTGAGATGTACTTGGTAACTGCAACGATTGGAATTCTTCACCTTCTTGGATTTTCCTCATACCTGTTTGTAATAACTCCATAACTGTATTCAATGTATTTTTGGAGGCAACGTCTGCTTTCGCGATAGGTTTTGGAGGAGGTGATTGTGTGGGGGGTAACAAAAATGCAGGAATATCCTTATAAGGTGCTGCATCATGCACTGAAGTGGTAGTCTCTTCAAGCGATGTGTCTCCGGCGAATCCTTCTAACCCAATCATTCTTTCATCTAAATATTTTTTGGGTGTCGTTAAAATAGGTTGTTCGAATTGAAGTGGAGCCGCTGGTTTCATAAGGAGTTGCTCTAATAAATCTTTTTGTGGGCTCCTTTTACTCTGGGTGCGTTTCTTTGCAACATGTGGTGCCGCTTCAGGGAGTGGTAATTTCCGCGGTGATGCAGATCGTGAAGTTTCCTTCTTTGCTGTTTGTAATGCACGAAGAATGCTTGCGGGTGGTATTCCGGTTTTATCAGAAACTTGTTCTATAGTCTCTTCCATTTCAGTATCTATTTCAAGCTCGGAGGATGGTTCTGGTACCCTAAAATAAGCGTATCTACGTTTAAGAACCCGTCTTGGACCACCTCGTCCTCTGCCTGGGTCGGTTTTGCGTATCATAACCGTTGGCAATTCTGAATCTGATGCGTTATCCGTTATCAATTCAGCTTCTTGTGATGGAAGGTCAAAATATAGTTGTTCGCGTTTACGACTTTGGATTTGTTTTGATTGGCGTGGTGTTCTTTTAGGTTTTGAAATCTTACCCGTTTTTCTTGATTTTTCAAGATATAGCGCTTCTTGAAGTTCGGAATCTGATACAATATCAATTACTTTATTATCACCTCTAGGTGTGCGTGTTTCGGCTTCCAATAAATATTCTGTGGAATCTTCCGATTTTATATTGGCGTCTTCATCTCGTGGCGGAAACCGGAACGGTGCTGATCGAGGTCTTCGCCTACGATCATATTTTTTACGATGTTTTTCTTCAGCCTCTTTTTCAAGTTTAGCTTCATTTTCTCGTTCAAGTTTAGCTTCTCGTTCCTTTAGCTGTTCTAATTTGGCGTCTATTTCTTTTTGCAGGACTAATTTAGCTTGTTTTTCTTTTGCAAGGGCTAACCTTGCCTCATTTTTGGCCTCTCTTTCTCTATGGAGAGCTCGTACTAATTTGTCTTTTTCATGTTCCATTCTTGCTTCTTTTGCGCTTTCGGTTTCTTGAGGTTGATCAGTTTGAATTGAGGTGGAAGCCACTTCTGGTTGCAATTTTGAATAAGTACCCACATCTTTACTCGCTTTCTTTGATTTTTTTGATTTCGGAGTTTGAATCACAAGTTTAATCATGGGAACGCTTGCTTCTTTGCCTTCGCTTTCTAAATTTTCGGTATTAGTTGCAGCGGATACAACGTTGGGAGTAGATTCTTGCAATCTTTTTGGTGGACTTGTCTTGGCCGTTTCATCCTCAATATTTTTATTTACTTCAACGTGAATATCTTGTAAGAATCGATTGCCTTGACCGGAAAGAACGTCAAGTGCCTGAAAAAAAATGGAAGACTTTCCTTCCACTTGATGACTCGGTGGATCTTGTGGTTGCGAGAATAAGTAAAATGGTAAGGGGTTAGAATCGGGGCCGTCGTCTAAAGTAGATTGTTTCGCGTCATCATCCGTAGATGATTTATCAGGAGTATACAAAGGGGGTGCAAAAAGACATTTGCGATCAATTGTTGGTCCGTCCCCTACAGCTTCAAACCGTTCGAAAGCGCTCATACATGTTGAGAAATTGTATTTAAATATGAAGAGCCCGCGGCGTTGCTCCCCAATCTCAATTCTCTGCGTAGCCCCGTCTCGAGGTCTTAATCTAATAATAAGAGGATCATTTACGAATGATACCATGTTCGGAGACAAATTTGTCATTAAATCTCTTTCGTTATTTGTGCAATGCTTTATACATTCGTCAAACATTTCTTTTAAATGAAACACAGCTGCTGAATTAATGCTACGAGCCAACAAAGCGTATAAGGTCTTATTAAAAACGGATTCGCACGCTTCTCTAAACATCATGATCAACGTAATTTGTTCAATAGGCGTGTGACCACCGTGTGATTTTAAATCCGCCAAATGTTGTGATATGCCGATAATAATACGAGCAATCGCTCGCCCGATTTCCTGAGCATACGCGAGATACTGTTTATTTTTCATATCTTTATGCGCGGAGTCTCCCTCCAACGAATCTTGCGTTATATCACTTTGATCTAGATATTGAATAAACTTAGAAATGCGTTTTAAAAAGAATAAAAATCTTACCTTCGCTCTCCCCCACCATCGTTGATAATAACCCAGAGGATTTCATTTTCGCGTAAATCAACGGATTCTTATCAAAATAAGCTTTTAATTCCGGATGCCGCAGCACTCGACTGTCCATGTTATAGAAATCAATTCCTAGTATCTCTTCGTCTGCTTCAAGATCAGCTATTTTAGCTTGGACACTACTTAACGGCTTGCTAGTTTCTTCTTTCACCTTCAACGCTTGCCGAAAAGTGTCAATATGGTGCTGCGTCATTGATTTTTCATGTTGTTGCTCCACACCTTGTTCATCAATATTACGCACCTTAGAACTAATCTCACTTTCTTCATAAACTGGTGCTTCTGAGATCGTCGGATATCGTTGCTCCGAAGTCGTAGGATCAAAAGTTAATCTTCTCGACACAGACGTCCTTTTACTTGATGGTTCTTCGGATCTACTTTTTCGTGGATAACGTTGAGAAGATTTTTTCGAGACTCTTACTGGTTCAGGTACCCCACGAATCGAAACAATTTTGGGCTTCGTCGTTGGTTGTATGTATTGAATCGTTACCGTTCCTTCTTCCTCGGAACTTTCGTAGTCTTGTATAAACTCGACGCCTTCGGTATCGTCATCGATGTTTACGCGTTTTGCAACAAATCGCTTAACAGTTTTAGCGTCGTCATCATCATCTTCGGGTGAAGATGTAAAGACGTGTTTGGATGTTGTTGTGCTTGTAGCAGCTGTATCTAAAGTGGAGGTTGAACCTGGAGGTGGTGTTTTCTGAGGATCGGGTGTGTCAGGTTGAAATTCTTCGTCGCCGGTGGTTCCTTCAGATTCTTTTTCGTAGTATTTAGCGTGTGATGGTTTTTTCAAACACGATTTTTTAGGTAATCTTTCCATCTCGCTGTGAATCTCTTCCTCATCTGCAGTACTTAATTCAGATTCTTTTTTGTAATATCTAGGACTTTCTGTAACTTCGGAGAAGCTCTTTTTCAGTGGCATCGTGGGTGATGGTTTTTTCAAACATGATTTTTTTGGAAGTTTTTGAGTTTCAAACTCTTCTTCGTCTGCAGTACTTACTTCGGATTCTTTTTCGTAATACCTAGGACTTTCTCTAATTTCGGAAACGCTTTTTCTCAACGTTAGAGCCGATTTTTTCAAACTCGCTTTTCTATGTACGTCTGGATTTGGAATATGAGCACCTCTATATGGAGGGGGTTTAGGAATGTCCCTAGGTGTACCACTTATGTCTTCGTCTTCCGACCAATAATACACTGGTTTTCGTCCCCATAATGTTTTCTTTTGGGAGGTATCTCCTTCTGGTTTTAAATGTAATTGACGTCTTTCTTTCTCCTCTGTGAGAGCGATTTGTATCGCTGGGTCATGTCGAGCTAATTGTGAGGAATATGCTTCTCTCATTTGTTGCATTCGATATTCTTCTTGAATGTTGTGATATTCTGGATATCTTGGTGATTCTTCTGTCATATCACCTAATTTGAAAGAAAAAAAAACACAAATGAATAAATTACAATTTTTATTTTAATTTTTTTACCTGATCCATCGCATGAACCTGAGGGGACGTCTACAAACTCCAATGCTTCTTGGTAATTTATAGCAGATTGGTTCTGATCCAAATATAGCGGTTGTTGAATCAATTTTGGTTTAAACTGTTGAGGCGTTGCTGGTGGATATTGACTTGGAAAATTCTGCTGTTGAGTAAATCTTTGTTGAGTTTCTAATAAATTTGGGGTTTCCAAATATTGCGGGTGCTGAATCGGTTGTGGTGGAGTCTGTGGAGACGTCCTTAATAATTGTGACTGCTGAATCGGTTGTGGTGGAGTCTGTGGAGACGTCCTTAATAATTGTGACTGCTGAATCGGTTGTGGTGGAGTCTGCGGAGACGTCCTTAATAAATTCGGCTGTTGTCTGAATCTTGGTGGAGTCTGTTGAGGCTCATATTCGATCAAATTCGGATCTTCTAAATATTGTGGCTGTTGATTAAATTGTCCTACAATCTGTTTAGAAGTCCCTGGTAAACTCGAAGTTACCACCTGTTGCGGCTTTGGGATAGGTTTCGGTAAATTTAGACGTATATCTTTCGCCGCGGAACGTTTTACTTCTTGCACCGGAGCGGGTTGTTTCAACGTCATAAGTTCTTGAAGTTTCTTATTTACATCTTGTTCCGCGGGTGGGCTATCATCATCAGGTTGAATACCAAACATACTATCGAAAATCGATAACCCCGATTTATTCAATTGGCTTTTTAATAATTGCGTTGTGTCAGGTTGAATTGGCGCAGTTTTTTCAGGAGAAGGCGGCTTCTGTGATGCTTGTAATTTACTGGGTAAAAATGGCTGATCATCCGGAAATTCCGAAGGCAACTTTTCAACAGATTTCGTTCTTTGTGCGGGATAAGAAGTTATAGTTGGAATTACTTTTCCATATTTTCGGCGTGCCATTATGAGTGGATTTACAGTCGCCTGTGGTGGTTTTTCTATAGGACCTGAAGAAATTAGGTCTTCTATATTCATTCGGTCTGGGTCGGGCATTCTAACTCGCGTATTTGAAGACTTTGCGGATAATGTTGGACTTTCTTTTCGATCACTCTGATACATTTGTGGGTTAGCATTCATAGCCTGTTGAACCTCCCAAGGTATTATTTGTGGTTCGACTTGTTGAGGACTTGGTTGAACTGTTTGAGGGCTTTGTTGGGCGGGCTGAGGAGTAGCCTGAATTGGTTGAGCACTTGGCTGAATTAACTGAGAAGTTGGCTGAATTAGTTGAGGACTTGGCTGAATTGGTTGAGCACTTGGCTGAACTAACTGAAGATTTGGCTGAACTAGTTGAGGACTTGGCTGAACTAACTGAGGACTTGGCTGAATTTGCTGAGGACTTGGCTGAACTAGGGGAGCATTTGGATATATTGGTTGAACTGGAGGAGAATTTGGATAAATTTGTTGTGGGATTGGTTGAACTGGAGGATAATTTGGATAAATTTGTTGTGGAATTGGTTGAACTGGAGGAGGACTTGGATAAATTGGTTGAATTGGAGGAGGACTTGAATAAATTGGTTGAGGATTTATCTGGTCTGTTTGAGGATTTGGGTAAACCGTTTGTGGATTTTGTTGAAGTGGTTGAGCAGTTTCATAAACTGGTGGAGGATTTTGTTGAATTGGATTTGAATACATTGGCTGATTTGAATAAACCGGCTGAGGATTTTGTTGAATTGGTTGAGGATTGGGTAAACCGTTTGTGGATTTTGTTGAAGTGGTTGAGCAGTTTCATAAACTGGTGGAGGATTTTGTTGAATTGGATTTGAATACATTGGCTGATTTGAATAAACCGGCTGAGGATTTTGTTGAATTGGTTGAGGATTTTGTTGAATTGGTTGTGGATTTTGTTGAATTGGTTGTGGATTTTGTTGAATTGGATGAGGATTTGAGTAAATTGGTTGAGGATTCTGTTGAGTAGGCTGAGGATTTGATGAAACTGGATGGGGATTTGATGAAACCAGACGAGGATTTGATTGAACAGGGTGAGGATTCGATTTAACCGATTGGGGACTCTTCAATACATGTGGATTTTTCTTCGGATTTCTCGCAGGCTTAATAGGTGAAGCTGGCGGCGTAGGAGTTGCTGAAGCACTCGGATTCGAAACTGAAGACTTAAGTTGCGCTGTTTTCAGCCCGTTTTGAAACGTTTTAAATGCCCCTCTAAACTCCTCAGGGAGACTTTCAATATCCTTCGGTTCATAGCCCGACCCTTTTTTAACCATTCTAAGGACAAACTCTCGTTCTTCTGGTTCTACACCAACTGGTGTCATTGCTTGTGATGTACTAGGAGTTGTTGCAATCGGCTCAGTTGAAGCAGTTTCTTCTTCTTCATCACTTTCTATTGATTAAATTAAAAGATTAATTAAAAAATTAAATTAAATAAATAAATTACCTTCGGATTCTTCTTCGTAAGTTTCTTCAACTTCTTGTTCAGACTTCTCTTCCTCCTCCTCTTCTTCTTCTTCTTCTTCTTCATCATCTTCCGATATCACTTGTGGTGGAGGTGTTTTTAATTTTTGCGGAGCTTTTTCAACCTTTTTCTGAGAGGTTTTATCATCAATTTTGCTCTTCTTATGTTTAACAGGTTTATTGGGTTCAGGAGCAACAACCACTTCTTTGATTGGTTGGGGTGCTCCCCCTCTTTTCTTTTTATGTACTTTGGGTACTTTTGGTGTTGCATCAGGGTGGATATCCGTTTTCGTTTCTACAGGAGTAGAAGTAACTGGTTTTGAGGCTGCAACAAAAAAAGTTATAAATGACTTTGAAAAGATTAATAATTTTAATACCTTTTTTTATTTTTTGTGTCTCAACTGGGGGAGGGGTTTCCACTTCTACAGGAGGAATGTTTTTCTTCTTTTTGTTCTTTTTTGGTCTTTTGACAACGGGAGGTGGCACTTGATTTTGAATTTCAACTTCGGTAGCAACAACAGTTTTCTTCTTTTTATTGATCTTTTGTGTCTCAACAACCGGAGGCGGGGCTGGAGTTTCAATTTCAGCAGCTTTCTTCTTTTTAGACTTGTGCGTTTCAACCACGGGAGGTGAACTAACAATAACTTCAAGTTCTTTTTTCTTTTTGCTGATTTTTTGTGGCTCAACAACTTCTGGGGTTGCCGCGGTTTTCTTCTTTTTGCGGGATTTCTTTGTCTCAATAACGGGGGGTGTTGTTGGAGGAATCGTTTTCTTTTTCTTGCTAACCTTTGTTGTCTCAGCTATGGGGGGTGGTGCTGGAGCTTCAACTGGTTTGTTCTTTTTGGATCTCTTTTTGGCTACGGGGTGGACTACCACTGGAGGTGGTGCTTCTTCTTCAGCTTCGCTGGAAGATGAGGACTCTTCTACCTCTGCCTCCTCTTCAACTGCTACCTCTTCCTCGGTGATTTTTGGAGCTTCGGACGAAGAAGGTCCCTGAAAACCGATTAATGCCTTTAAATCTACATAAGGACCTTCTTCCGGCTTAGGAGGATCAGCGATTCGATTGCGTACTCTACGAAATTTAGAAGGAGGGGGCCCTCCTTCTTCCTCTTCTTTAAGCTTTTGTTTAACTAGGGCTCCAATTTTGTGGCACTCATCACTTGGCTCATCATCTAATATATTAAACATAGCAATATCATCAGTTAATATTGGACGGGGGCGCCCAATTAGAGCTGGATCCATCTCAACTTCTTTCTTGTATTTCTAAAAAAACCTTATGACTAAAGTAAATCATTATTTAGAATTAATTTACCCCTGTCTCAAACAATGTCCGCAATGGTTTCAATAAATCTTCTTCTATTGATTTAAGAATGACATCCTTCTTATCAACTTGTGCAGAGCAAACCGGCAGATCAAACTGCAGGACCGGGAAATAATTTTTGATGATATTAATCATTGTAGTTGCCTCCAACTTCATGGACGCATCCCCAGTAATCTTAGCCAAGAATTCGGCTATAATATCCCAGTTTTCTTCCACTTCATTTACATGACACATAGCCCTTGCAACACAAACGTGACATTGACAATTTAAGAGATTCTCTTGATACCTTTGCAATTCTTTTCTGAAATCGCGTTTACGACTAAACGAAAAATATGTTTTAATTGAGATCAATTTTAATTAACAATTATACTTACGCTAATAATTGACGGTGGAGGTTAACCTCACAACTCCGTTTCGTTTCGCCATCTTTGAAGAACTGGGAAATATCTTTGATTTCGATATAATTCCCCACAAAGTGCCCCATCGTGTTCATAATGAGGCCCACAAAACGCTCCACACCACCAGGTGCCGCGTTAATATTCGCTACAAATTAAACGTTGTTGTAAATATGATTAAGTAACTAAAAAAGTTAGATGCGTAATAAACCCCGAAAGACAAAGAAGTTATGGAAAAATCCCAAACAACAGCTGTCAACTACCAACCTAAATAAATATAAGGAAAAATTCAAACATTCATAAAATTAAATTAAATTAATTTTAATCATTTTTTAATAATAAAAAGAATGTGGAAAAGTGTAGAACATACCGAAAACACATTAAAGTTTCGATGTGATGTCACAAGCAATGTTAACCACGCATTTTTCTATTAAACCGGTCAACACCTAACCTATAAATTGTTTATTTTATAGCCACGCACAAAATCAATCTGATAAATTTAAAAGTAAAGTTATTTTCACTAAATACCCTTGTTATTCTTAGGCTTTCGATGCATAACGACTAGATTCTGTGTTAATACTACAACTAATACTAGACCTAGAACTAGAAAAAATGATAATGATAATGCTAGTGTAAAACTAGAACTAACACTAGACCTAGAACTAGAATCATTCTTCTTTTGTTAGTTCTAGTTTTACACTAGCACTATCACTACAAGACCTAAAACTAGAATCATTCGGGTTTAGCCGTCTTGAGAGACGTGAGGCTAAACCCGAATGATTCTAGTTCTCGGTCTAGTGTTAGTTCTACTTTTACACTAGCACTATCACTACAAGACCTAAAACTAGAATCATTCGGGTTTAGCCGTCTTGAGAGACGTGAGGCTAAACCCGAATGATTCTAGTTCTCGGTCTAGTGTTAGTTCTACTTTTACACTAGCACTATCACTAGAACTAACACAAGACCTAAAACTAGAATCATTCGGGTTTAACCGTCTTGAGAGACGTGAGGCTAAACCCGAATGATTCTAGTTCTCGGTCTAGTGTTAGTTCTAGTTTTACACTAGCACTATCACTAAAACTAACACAAGACCTAGAACTAGAATCATTCGGGTTTAGCCGTCTTGAGAGACGTGAGGCTAAACCCGAATGATTCTAGTTCTCGGTCTAGTGTTAGTTCTAATTTTACACTAGCACTATCACTAGAACTAACACAAGACCTAGAACTAGAAACATTCGAGTTTAGCAGCACGTCTCTAAAGACGGCTAAACCCGAATGATTCTAGTTCTATGTTTTGTATTAGTTCTAATAGCAGTGGTAGGTAGCGCTAGTTAGCATAAGATATTACTATGTTGTATATTTTTATTGAATTAAAACAGTAGTGGAAGTTAGTGGAGTTGTAGGTCTTTTGTTAATTCTAGTGATAGTGCTAGTGTAAAACTAGAACTAACACTAGAGCTAGAACTAGAATCATTCGGGTTTTGCCGTCTTAAGAGACGTGCGGCTAAACCCGAATGATTCTAGTTCTAGGTCTTGTGTTAATTCTAGTGATAGTGCAAAATTAGAACTAACACTTGAACAACTAGAAAGTATCGGGTTTAATGTAATCTCTGTCTGAAGCCGCACGACTAACCCAACCCGGAATTAACAACTCGCCTTTTGCTCCATGCCCAACCCGACATTTGAGAGATTAGTGCTGCTTTAAATGTTAATTAACCTAACTCAAAGTGGAATTTCTACACAAAATTCTGAAATAAATCAGTAAATTAGATGGATCCGAACGTAACGTTTAAAGAGGGGGCCCCACCCCACTCTAAAAAGATATGTCGCATCTGGGTGACAAAGAATCGAGTGTTGTAGCAGCAATGGGACACAAAATGATATCATTTAACAGAAGAATAGTTTCAGTAAATAGTCTCCAAGCACTTAGTAGTGTTTTGGCAGCAGTATATAGTCTTTTGAAAGCATTAAATGGTCTTTCCCAACAATATCTAGCATTCTGAAAGAAGTTAATAGTCTTTTGGAAACAGTATCTTGTTTATCCAAGCAGATAATTGTATCTCCCAGCAGTATTAGTCATTTTGGAAAGCATACCTCTTTTCCAAACAATTATTAAAGTCATTGTAAGTAGTATTCCGCCTGTCCAAGTAGGTGAAAACCTTTTACAGCAGTATTTAGCATTCTGGGAGCAATAGGTATTATTTTGAAAACAGTATCTACTCTTTTCCAAGGAAGTTGTGGTCTTTTTTTGCAGTGTCTAGCATTTTAGAAGCAGGTAACTTTTTGAAATAGTATTTCCTCTTTTCAAGCAGTTTTTATTCTTTTACTAGCAGTATTTAATCTTCTGATAGCAATAATTAGCCTTTTGCCAACAGTATCAGGTACAGATTTTAGGTTACCTTTAGTTTATAGATGGTAAACAACAACATTTTAGTCGTTGTGTTTCGAAAACCTAAGAAACAACCGTATTTCACCCGAAAATATGCTTTTTAACCAAATTAGCATGGTCGATGAAAACTTTAAAGTGATTTTTCGGCAAATTTTACACTTTATTATTTGAATTATACCAAATTTTATTTTTTTTTTCACATCAGCAATTAAAATTAATTTAAATTAATTATATAAATGATTTAAGTTAATATTAATTAATTCATTTAGACTTAATCGCAATTAAAATGAATTTTCAAAAAAATGAGCTGCCACCTATAATCACAAACGCGTATTACACATAAAAATGGAGAATGTTCTAGAACATTCTAGAACATTCGGGAACATTCGGGAACCCTCCATGCTAAACAAATTAATGTTTAAAAATCAACCCCGAGGGTCCTAAATCGCTTCAAATACACTTAATCAAACTTATAAATAATAATCATGATAAATTTTTTCATAATTTTAATTTTCAAAAAAAATTTTTAATTAAAATTTATCTTAAATGTTGTAAATTGTAATAAAAGAAAAGACTTACAGGTAATTTGGCCCATTTGCACTTAATTCGGCTTATTTATCATTAAAAATATTCGCACTAACACTACCACACCTTACACTACAGGATAGTTCAGATGAACTGAGCTGCCCGGCGATTTGGCCGCCCTTAAATACCCCCCCAGAAAAAACAACAGACAATCGCCGTTTCCGTCCCCACAAAAGCGGAAGAAGCGATCGTCCGTTGTTTTTTTTATCACTTAAAACAGCTTCAAATCGGTTAATTAATGTAAATTATCGATGAAAATAGCAACAAATATCAATACGAGCATAATTAAATCGTTTTGATTAAAAATTAAAGTTTCAACAAATTTTTAATAATTATTATTTTAATTTTTTTGTGTTGGTATTTTGGGAAGACTACTGTTTTGCCGCAAAAATTTTTTTTGATTTATTTATTTAAATTACTGTTTTTATGTTTAAAATGAGAGCTGAGTAGTGTAAAAACTCATTTTATAATTATTTTGATTGATTTTATTCGGATTTTGATTTAAAAGTGGTCGAAATTCGAGTTTAATAAAGTTTATGAGTTGGGGATGAAGTTTATTTCCGGTCACGTGATTCCCGGAAGTGTTGGAAGCTGTTGCAAGCTCACATCTGCCACTATCATCTATCGTCGACGATCGACAAGTTGAGTTGTGTTTAAGTTGAGTTGTGTGTGAAGAAAATCTATTAAGAAGTAATTAAAAATGTGCCAATTAGGAGTTATTGGACGTCTTTTTAGAGCGATGATCAATTTTTTATATGTGTTTTTCGAAACGTTTGCTGATTATGTGAATTTCCCTCTGAGATTCATATTTGAGATCATCTACGAAGTACTTTTCCTGGATGCACAGCGCGAACCGGAAAACAACAGCGAAACTTTGTTGCAAGGAATTCCATCGAATCTCCTTCGTTTATCTGCGATCAACGTGGACACCACCAATTTTCCTCGGGCTTCTTCATCGATCAACCTTGGAGGTTTGTACTTGTTCTACGATTAACACCGAATAACCCTCAACTTTTTACAGAGCCTGATTTGTTGTCCCAAAGCGATAATTCTTTAACATTGGGATCATCAGTATCAACTCCCAATGTAATTTATTACCCTGCAGAAGAAGGTGACAGCAACATCGAGAGACCTATCCGTTATAGACGATCTCGTGGAGTAGCTACGTACATTCTTCCATCACCGAGTCTTCGCAGAATGCAACGAGATAGAGCTTCAAGGGGATTAAGACCTCTACCTGTTCAAAATCCTTTCATTGAACAAGAAGAGGATACCGATTCTTAAATTTTTTCTTAATGTTACCAACTCTTTCCATGAATGATTTTGATTTGATACAGTTTAAGTTTATTTTATGATTTAAATATGATCTGAACTTCTAATTACACCAAATCTTAATGGTGAAGAAGAAGGGGATAACAATTTTTATTTTTTCCAATACAGTTTAAGTTATAAAACAAGATTTTTTTCAATGATTAATGTTATTTTTACTATATGCATCGTTCCATCAGGAAATCTTCGAAACATTTCAAGAATGATGATGAATCTTTGTGGTGAAAAAGATTTTTATTATTTCCAATACAGTTTAAGTTATAAAACAAGATTTTTTTCAATGATTAATGTTATTTTTACTATATGCATCGTTCCATGAGGAAATCTTCGAAACATTTCAAGAATGATGATGAATCTTTGTTTTGAAAACGATTTTTATTTTTTCCTGATACAGTTTAAGTTATAAAACAAGATTTTTTCGACGATTAGTAACTATGTAATCGCCAAGTCTTTGAAGAATCTCAAGAAATGAGCTGCAAGACGATCTCAATCTTTAGTTACATAAAATATTTTTATTCAACAAGAAGAGAATAGATTTTTATTTTTTTATATAGTTACGATAAAGTTTAAGTTGTAACACAATGTTTTTTTATTTCAATGTTTCGTTTTTTTACAATAAAGTTTAGTTTCTGACACGTTTATCTATTTATTAATAATGGGGAGTTTGTATTGACTTTAGTTGATAAAATTCGATTATTATAAGGTAAATATTGCAACAATTCATTTTAATTGTTGCAATAAATCTAATAATTAAGAATGTAAGAGAATTATTTTGACTAGGAGGGTTTTATGGCTTATTAAAGAAACCCACTGCATTCGGGACTTATTAGAAAAAAGTTTTAGTATAAAAGTTGTAGCAAGTTTTATCCATAACATTTTTACTCTTTTACAGCATTTCTCTCAAATGCATAGATATCTAGATAAAGTGAAAAGTAAGTGATCTTGTTGTTTTACAATTTGTTGATGGTAGCCCACCGGATTCAGAACATGTTAGAAAAAAAGTTTTAGTATGAAAGTTGTAACAAATTTTATCTTTAACAATATTGCTCTTTTATACTTTTGCTCTCAAATGCATAGATATCGAGAAAAATATGAAAATGTGAAATCATCGTTTTACATTTTGATAAAGGTTGCCCACCGGATTCGGAACATATTAGAAAAAAAGGTTTAGTATAAAAGTTGTAGCAAATTTTCTTCTTAACGATATGGCTCTTTTACACATTTGCTCTCAAATGCATAGATATCGAGATAATGTGAAAAGTACGTGATATCGTTGTTTTACAATTTGTTGATGGTAGCCCACCGGATTCAGAACATGTTAGAAAAAAAGTTTTAGTATAAAAGTTGTAGCAAATTTAATCCTTAACGATATTGCTCTTTTACACTTTTGCTCTCAAATACATAGATATCGAGGAAAATATGAAAATGTGAAATCATCGGTTTACTTTTTGATGAAGGTAGCCCATCGGATTTGGAACATGTTAGAAAAAAAGTTTTAGTATAAAAGTTGTAGCAAATTTTCTTCTTAACAATATCGCTCTTTTACACTTTTGCTCTCAAATGCATAGATATCGAGATAATGTGAAAAGTACGTGATATCGTTGTTTTACAATTTGTTAATGGTAACCCACCGGATTCGGAACATGTTAGAAAAAAAGTTTTAGTATGAAAGTTGTAGTAAACTTTATCCTTAACAATATTGCTCTTTTATACTTTTACTCTCAAATGCATAGATATCGAGATAATATGAAAAGTACGTGATATCGTTGTTTTACAATTTGTTGATGGTAGCCCATCGGCTTCAAAACATGTTAGAAAAAAAGTTTTAGTATGAAAGTTACAGCAAATTTTATCCTTTACAATAATGCTCTTTTATACTTTTGCTCTCAAATGCATAGATATCGAGGAAAATATGAAAATGTGAAATCATCGTTTTACTTTTTGATGAAGGTAGCCCATCGGATTTGGAACGTGTTAGAAAAAAAGTTTTAGTATAAAAGTTGTAGCAAATTTAATCCTTAACAATTTTACTCTTTTACACTTTTGCTCTCAAATGCATAGATATCGAGGAAAATATGAAAATGTGAAATTATCGTTTTACTTTTTGTTGAAGGTAGCCCATCGGATTTGGAACATGTTAGAAAAAAAGTTTTAGTATAAAAGTTGTAGCAAATTTGATCCTTAACAATTTTACTCTTACACTTTTGATCTCAAATGCATAGATATCCAGATAATGTGAAAAGTACGTGATGTCGTTGTTTCACAATTTGTTGATGGTAGCCCACCAAATTCGGAACATGTTAGAAAAAAAGTTTTAGTATAGAAGTTGTAGCAAATTTTATCCTTAACAAGTTTACTCTTTTACATTTTTGCTCTCAAACGCATAGATATCGAGAAAATGCGAAAAGTAGATGATATCGTTGTGTTCCAATTTATTGATGGTAGCCCAATGATTTCAGAACATATTAGAAAAAAAGTTTTAGTATGAAAGTTGTAGTAAACTTTATCCTTAACAATATAGCTCTCTTATACTTTTGCTCTCAAATGCATAGATATCGAGGAAAATATGAAAATGTGAAATCATCGTTTTACTTTTTGATGAAGGTAGCCCATCGGATTTGGAACATGTTAGAAAAAAAGTTTTAGTATGAAAGTTGTAGTAAACTTTATCCTTAACAAGTTTGCTCTTTTACACTTTTGATCTCAAATGCATAGATATCGAGATAATGTGAAAAATACGTGATATCGTTGTTTTACAATTTATTGATGGTAGCCCAATGATTTCAAAACACATTAGAAAAACGTTTTAGTATAAAACTTGTAGCAAATTTTATTCTTAACAATATTGCTCTTTTACACTTTTACTCTCAGATGAATAGAAAAATATAAAAATCTGAAAAATAGGTGGTATCATATCTTAACACTTCTGCATAAGTAAATCCTGATACTAGCAGAATTAATGCTGCCATTAAAACAAGATATAAAGAGATGCTGTAAACATATTGATAAGAATATTTTGTTGAGCAACCTTGAAAATAAAGACATCTCAAATTCTGCTATTACATCTCAATGTTTATCGTTTTCTTGTAAATTAAAAATTATTTTTTTTCCTTATTAGTAATTGTATGCTAATTGAATATCTGGTCAACATTAAGTCTTTTTGTGTTTATTTAAATTTATGTAGATTAAAACTGTTTAAATTATTTGTTATAGGTCGTGGAGCAGCGATGATAATTGAAAGTTTATGTCTTTTCTATCATATGGAATGTTTCAAATGTTGTGTGTGCCACATGAGGCTTGGTGACGGCCGTATGGGCACAGACGTCAGAGTACGCAATCAGAAATTACACTGCCACAATTGTTATTCAAGCGAAGACGGAGTCAAATTCAGTTGCGTTTAATTTTTTTTTATTAGTTTTTTTTGTAGATATGCGATTGTTCGATGTACAGATATTGTTATACATATTCGTATAATTGATGAATTGTTTCAATTTGATTTTTCTTCGTCCCTATTGTACTATAATAACGCATAAAATTAAACTTAAAAAAATAAATAAAAAATAACGCGATTAAAAAGAGTTGTTAAATAATAATTTGATAACTTTTTTTCTATCTTTTTATGTGTATTATTTTTGCCCTGATTCATTAGGTTGTGTTTATATAAAAATTAACAATATTTATTATATCGTATTTAACGTATAGAGAAGAAAGTTTATATATGAATATAATGCATCTACTCCTAGTGCAGCTCAGCGGTAGAAAAAATTATGTTTGCAAAGTTTACTATATGTTCAAAGTGAGTAATTATTGCAGCGATTCAATTATTATTATTATTGTTATATAAATTGTCTATATGTGAAAGTTATTATATTTAGTTTATTGTAAATTTACTTATCATTCTAATAAAAAAATCCCATAAGTATTTAAAACTGATTTTATTATTTCAATTTAAAATTACTTACCTTAACTTAAATAAAATAAAATAACATAAAATAAGGTTAAAAAGGTAATGAAATAACGATGGTTTATTTTTACATTGGATGTATTTTATTAAACAGTTGTAACAAATTTTGATAACTTAAAAAAATAATTCACGTTACGATTAAACGTAATCATTCTCAAAATAAGATATCCAATGCACACTTTATATAGTTATATATTATTTTTTACTTTGTCGGCCAGTCCACTTATCGTAAACATAATTTTGACCATAATATCGAAAACAAAGCAGACTACATGTTTGAAATACTATAAATAACCGCCGACAATTATTACTCGTTAATATATTATCGTAATAATAGAATAGCGTGCGAAAGCATCACCGAAAAAAAAAACAAAATAATAATACGAATGGAAATGAATACTTATTCTTTTTCATCTTCATTTAAATTCTTGCTCTTTCATTTTTAATTTACAACTCTTTTTCAATCTTGATGATCTCGGCGATGCCATCGTACATCTCTTTGACAGCATCGAATTCAGTCAAACCCATACGCCTCTTGTTAGAGATATCGTAAATACCACCTTCGGCTTCGGTGTGTTCACCGCGAGTACCGCGGACTTGCAAGTTGTACTTGGCAGCGACTTCTTCAAGTTTGGCTTTGTTAGCGGCAAGTTTTGGTACTTTAATGTGTACGGAAGCGCGTACAGTTGTACCCAAGTTGGTTGGGCAGAAAGTTAAGAAGCCCAATCTATCGTTATGAGAGAAGGGAATACGTTTTTCGATATCATTAACAGCAGTTACGAGACGTCTGTAAACTTCTCCCAAATCGCCACCCATTTGCATGGAAATAAGACGAAGATGATCTTCTTCGTTACACCATACCAAGAAGGTTTTGTTGTCGTTGTGGTAAATACCACGCCCAGTTGGCCAGAAACGGCACGCGTTGGCAGCTTGCAAGAAACGGTCACCTTCTTTGAATAAGAAGTGATCATCGATGAGTTTTTGTTGAACATCTTTGCTCATTCCAGTTAACGGGTAGAAGGTTCCCTTCAATTCGCCTTCAAGTCCAGAGAGAGTTGTCGAAACTTTTTGTTCCATTTCTTTGTATTGTTCTTCAGTTAAGCATGGGTTGAATGGATAACCTTCCATGGAACGGCCGCAACGAACGCGAGTTGAAACAACGTATTCGCCGGCTGGGTCAAGATTGCCGAAGGTGTTAACATCACCCCAGTTCTTGGGTGGGTGATTATCAGTTTTCTTGAAACCACCGTGGTAGTCTTCGATGATCGGGTCGAATAAGTCGGCAAAAACGGTGTAGGATTCAGCATCGGGGGCGTAGATACCGACGCCGGAATCCGGATTTTCAACACCTAAACAATTTTAATAAAATAAAGTTTATCTTTTCTTCAAGTATGTTGTAAATATTGACGCAATACACCTTGTTATCAAAAGCAAATAAGTAAGCAAGGATTTGTTTGGATTCGATAAAGGTTTCGAAAATTTGTTAAAAAAATGAATTACCAGATTGGATTACATCGAGAAGGGATGAACCAAAAGAAGTTTTCTTGGTCTTAAGGTTGTCGAAGACCTCCTTGGTCAAGTACTTCTTGAGGAGCGATTTGGAATCGCTGGCCTCCAATTTTTTGAAGCCAGCTTCCAATTTATCCAAAACTGCTTGATCAACCATTATGTCAGATTTTCTATTCATCAAAAAAAAATAATTAGAATGTTACATTTAATGTTAAAAAATAATTAATAAATATTTACATGTTTGTATTAACTTAGGACGACAATTAAACAAAATTAGTCCGAAGTTAATTAATTAAATTTTTTTTTAATTAAAATTATTTTTACATATATATATACAAATACAGACGAATACGTGGACCATGCAGATACCGACACCGATCTTTCTTTAATGAATTACAAACCCTGATTTTTGTTCTTCTTTAGCCTTTTTGGGGCTGTCCTTTGATGTGCAACCGCCCATGTTAATTTTTTTCTTACCGATTTCCTTCCTTTAGAATAACAACAAAAAAAACGAATCGACCACGAACGGGGGATGAAGAAGAATTTTAAAAAACCACTATTCTAGGGACACTACTACTACTAAACTCTAAATAACTCAATGGGGATAACCAGGCATACATTAGAAAAACCGACGCCCACAGCACCCCGGACGACGTCCAAAACTGTACTTGACTGTCGCCGAATAACCCACCAAAATCCAACCCCTCTCGCTATCACACCGTATCGATCGATACTGTGCTCTCTTCAAATATGAACGCTTTTCAACACTCAAAACTTGGAATTAATAGCCCTATCTAAAAGATTTTTTTATCTTTTTATTGCTGGTTATCTTATATATCACCATCAATCCTAAATGCAATAAATCTAGACTTTATCTTCATCAATATGACATTAAAAAAAATTATACATTCAATATTAATAAAAAAAAATTACTTGTAAATCCCTCGTGATAAACATATTACATACACCGGGTATTACATTATTTCGTTATAAAAATTAACCCTTAACAAAAAAAAAAATGAATATGGGTATTGACCTTCCCTGGGTTGAAATTCGCGCAAGCCCAGTTCTGTTTTAGTTACATAACATGAATATACCACATGATTGCAAAAATTTTCAACCGCAACTTTGTATTTTTTACAGTACCAACGGAATGACATTGCTGAATCGGGACGAATTAGCACGCCTGGATGATTGTATGAGTCATTTCGATGGGAGTTGTCGCGAAATAATGCGTAATAACGCAAAAAAAAAATTAAATCCAACAGAAAATTTATCTAAACTTACAACTTATCCAATTAGATCTAATTTAGGTTCGTTAAAAAAATTCATACGCCGGGTACTAAGTTTTTAGCCGGTTTAACCACGTTGGATTTTTTAAAACTTTTTTTATTTATAAATTAAATAAATTGAGATGTGGCGAAATAGTTTTATGAAAAATTGTTGTGTAAAAAAATGTTCTTACCAAAGAACTAGAGTTCGAACCCGGTACGAACACTCACTGATGAAGGTTCCAAGTAAACTGAATGAGGTTCCTATCCTACCTTCTGCATAGGTACTTGTTACCCCACCATCTCGTGACGTATACTAGAAATTTTATATAGCCCGAATGACCTAAAGGTCGTATAAACCACAAAATTATACCTCATTTTTATTAAAAATATAATACAATTACTTGTTGAACTATCCCCATTTTCTAATCTAATCTAAATCATTAATACTTTTTAAAATTAACACCATTTTCGAACTCCAAATCATCTTTATCGTTTAAAATTAATCCAATTGTATACAAAACATTAATTAATTAATTCATTTCAAATCAATGAAACATCTAATTTTCTAAACAACGCGATTCAACAAATTTTTAGGAAGATTTCGATTTAAAAATAGACCTCGTTAAAACGCATTATGTAACGCCCAGTTTAACGCTTAACACAAATTTTTATTTAAAATTTCGATTCAAAAAAAACTTTACGTAATCAACCTTCATTTAATAAATAAGTTAATAACTAATCACCTCGTTAAAGCACTATAAATTAAATAAATTCGATTTAATGAAAGATAAGACAACATTTACACTCGAAAAGTCTATGTACCGTATAACTGATTGATTATTTCGAGAAACCTTGATAACACATGACGAATACTCACGTTTTATCAATAACCAATCGATGTTAATATGTATAAATAAACGTTTTCAAATTAAGCTAAAATTTGAAGTCAATTTTTTTTATTTTATCAATGATTTGTAGAAATTATCTATAGTCATTGTGATATTGTTATATTATTAATAAGTAATATAAATTTAAAAAACTAAATGACTTTATCATTTTATTAAGGAAATATTAAAAAAATATTTTTATTAATTTAAACGAAAAAATCCAATAATTAAACAATTCAATATCCAAGTCATACATATAGATAATCAGATACAGTAAAACCTCGATATCCGTTATAGCGAAAAGTTCTAGCACTAAAACTAACACTAGACCTAGAACTAGAATCATTCGGCTTTAGCCGTCTTAAGAGACGTACGGCTAACCCCGAATGATACTAGTTCTAGATCTAGTGTTAGTTCTAGTTTTACACTAGCACTATCACTAGAACTAACACAAGACCTTGAACTAGAATCATTCGGGTTTAGCCGTCTTTAGAGACGTGCGGCTAAACCCGAATGTTTCTAGTTCTAGGTCTAGTGTTAGTTTTAGTTTTAGTTCAATGATAAATAGAACTAACACTACCATTAGAACTAACACTAGACCAAGAACTAGAATCATTCGGGTTTAGCCGTCTTTAGAGACGTACGGTTAAACCCGAATGAATCTAGTTCTAGGTCTAGTGTTAGTTCTAGTTTTAATTCTAGCACTAAAACTAACACTACTTAAAACTAGAAACATTTTTAGTTTTTAGTTCTAGGTCTAGTGTTAGTTGTAGTGGTAGTATTAGGCCTAATTTTAATTCTAGCACCAAAACTAACACTAGCAATTAAATTACATTTAGCAAAGTTTCATCTATTTGCTGATTTTGTGTACAAATTTATGTATTATATTTATGTAATGTGACATACAACAACATTTCAGCCTTTTAGACCTCCAGACTGCAACATTAATATTATTAAATCTGTAGCTATAATGATATGTTTGATATGAACGAGTGATTAATGTTAGTTTCCTTTGGTAGATCTTCTGGGTAGACTCAAAAGCACATGAAGTGGTTAATTAGAGACTTAGTAATAGACTAATAACTTTGTTTTAGCCCATACCGATGCAAGTACTTAATGATTTAGTCATTTGGATTTATATTGAATAATATTATAGTATAATAGCATAACTTATCTTAATTAGCTTGTTAATATAAAAGCAAGTAAAATCAACAAAAGCAACTCAATAAAATGTTAAAAAAATTATAAAATAAAAAAAATCATACGGTTTTTTAACATTTTCCCTAATCAGCTGCATCCTCTCCATATTAATAATATCTTGGGATGGGTTTCTAAGGTCTTCGGGCCAATCATTCCCATTTATGACGGAATCTTCGTCTTCTTCGCTATCTTCATCGTTAAAATCAATGTCGTCCAATTGTTCGTTTAAAATAGGGTGGGGGGAAGGAGATCTTGGCGGTTTAACAGGTTGCAACCTTGAAGGTGGTTGAGGTGATGGTATTCTCGTTGATTGAACGGGTGTGGGAATCTTTGGGCTTTGTTTAGGAGAGGAAGGTGGCAATCTAGGCGAATCGGGGGGTTGTGGGGAAATGCTTTGAGGCCTCGGAGAAACATTTCCGGGTTGTGGGGATATACTTTGGGGTTTTGGAGAAATGCTTTGAGGTTGTGGAGAGATGTTTTGGGGTTGTGGTATTTTTGATGGTATATTTTGAGGGGTGGTTGGCCGAATAGTTGGTTTTGGTGGTTCTTGTTTTTGTGGAGCTGAATGGGGGGGTGTAGTTTGGAAGAGAGTCTTCTGTATGGTTTCCCTTAATGGAAAAAATAAAAATAAAGTAAAATAAATGAATAATAAGAAGTAAAAGATGCGAAAACACCAAACCCTTAGTAACAAGCGCATGGTTTTTTATTATTACGTTTCACAAGCTATCTAATTCCTTATCTTTCACAACGTTGCACGTAAAACTTTTTGTAATTGAGGTATCGATAACGTAGTTTCTAGAAAATTGTATTATTCAGAAAGTGCGGCTTAAAATTTATCTAATCGGGTGTTATGGGTTCTTCGAAATAAATATGCATGTCTAGCAAATAACCTAAAAAATATATTATTTTCAAAATATGGAGACAAAATAGTTTTTTAATAAAAAATAAATCATTTTATAGATAATAAAAAAGATGGACGTTATCTCAATTTTTGACACACTGATAAATAAGACAACAAAAAAAATTTTTTTAATTTTTATTACGTAATTAAGTATTGGCATGGTTTTTGATGGATTCAAAAATAGAAACAGAAACATCTTCCAAAAATACGATTGTTTTCTCGTGAAGTTACTTTAAAAAATATATTAAAAGGTGAATTATCTAAATGGTCTTTGTTGGGGAGTCGCTTAGAATTAGAAATACACATTGCACCTGCCACATGTGCTGTAGATGCTATTTTCGCAATGCGTGGATTTCGAGACGAAAATACACTGAATAAGTCGAAAACCCTATTAGAGTTGGTGAAATAAATACCTTTTGGGTTATTGCGTAAGAACGCAGTCGTAAACATTACGACCTGAGCTAAAAAAAAATAATAATTTACAATGGTTTTATGGTTTACGATAAAAAGTCATAAATCGAATAAATACGAAGTCGGGATTTTAAGATTTTTCGTAGAGAACGCCAAGCTTTGCTAGATATTCAATTTAAACGCCCGGGTTTAAACACGTGATCTTCTAAAAATACTTTACTATAACATCCATTGCCAGGGTTATGCCGATTTTAAATATAAAATAGCTCTCCCGACTCCCCTGAAATCTTTAAACAACAAAAAACATTTTATATTTCGAGGTTAAATAAAAACGGAATTAATTTTAAGTCATTGATTATAATATTAAAATTTGTGGGTTACCCCATACCATTAGTAAGGTATAAATATAGCGAGAACAACAAGCTCCATGTGGTGACATGGATGTGTATATACGTGAGAGATAACAACGAAAAAAAGTATTCAAATTTATTATTAGCACAGATGAAACAGTCTCTAAAATAAGACTTTCTCTGGAATAAAGAGTTATTTACTTAAAGATCGTTTAATTAACGAATTCGCCTATTTATTACGGTACAAATAGGATTCTTTTATTTTATTTATTTTTCAATTATTGGCTAAATAACGTTATGCAAAAATAGAATTAGGCAAGCGTCCAAAAATACATACAGCTGTTGAATAAATAAATGAAAATGAGGGTTAGAAAAGCGTGAAGAAAACCGGTATTTTTCCATATTTTTTGACGTACCTGTACTCTTTCCATGATAACACCGAATACCACAAGGTAAACATTTTCCACTCGAAATTCACGTATTTAGCCCCGAAAAGTACTGCTCTTAAACAGTGACGACGGTTTGGGCCGGCCACGATTAGTTAACTGGTTCACTTGCTGATTTAGTTTATAACTAAACGTGATTTGAAAATGTGTAATTCTTAAAAAAATACAACTGACTAATATTTCGTTTGTTTTCACAACGATTTATATGGAAACGTGTTGAGTTTCGATGAATGTACAGTTTAAGTGCGACGTTATGCAATTTTGACAGCCCTTTTTCAACATCAATCGCTTTTCGGAACGATTTTAGAGACCGTTCCAGACCGAGATTTTCATGTTTCTACCAGGAAATGGGGTTCATACTAGCTGGAAACACTGAAAATGGAACAAGTATCGATTTTTCCCCTTAAGAAGATGATTCAACAAAAACAAACCCCCACATTTTTATTTCCATTATTATTTAACCCTAATATAATTTTTTTTGGCACTTTTTTATAAAGAAAATTATTTTAGTTATTATTAATTTATCAAATTAAAACAAATTAAGCAAAAAATTTCATGATTTAATCAATAATTCGTTTAATAATTTGTTTAAACACTTAATTATAAATAAATTATAATCTAATTCGCAGACTTAATTAACACACTTTATCAACAATTTATTAAACAACTCAACATCATTAATTCCTGAAGCGCAAGCAACCAAATAAACACAAATTTTTAAAACAATTAAATCAAGTTGTTATTAATATAGTAATAATATTAAATCTTTTATAAATCTTTTTATCATCAAAAATGAAGAACATTAATATTATATTAATTTTTATTTAAATAAACATTAAACAGCCATCTATTAAGCAATATGTATTAACTGTATAATAAAACAAAATCGCAATTAAAAACATAATCAAAATAAAAGTATAAATGCCTAAATCAAAAATAAATGTATTTGATCTAAAAGTCATTTGGCCTAATAAATAAATAAACAATGTTTAAATTTGTGATTATTTGTGAGTACGCAACTCGCACTATGTGTATAATTAAAAATAAATAAAGTTTGTTAAATTTAAAAGAAAAATTAGGCAATCTAGGCGAATCGAGGAAATGCTTTGAGGCCTTGGAGAAACATTTCAGGGTTGTGGGGATATATTTTGGGGTTTAGGAGAAATGCTTTGAGGTTGTGGAGAGATGTTTTGGGGTTGTGGTATATTTGATGGTATATTTTAAGTTTCGACTAAAAGTGCGACGTTATGTAATTTTGACAGCCCTTTTTCAACATCAATCGCTTTCAGAACGATTTTAGAGACCGAGATTTTCATGTTTCTACCAGGAAATGAGGTTCATACTAGCTGGAAACACTGAAAATGGAACAAGTATCGATTTTTCCCCTTAAGAAGATGATTCAACAAAAACAAACCCCCACATTTTTATTTCCATTCTTATTTAACCCTAATATAATTTTTTTTGGCACTTTTTTATAAAGAAAATTTTTTTAATTATTATTAATTTATCAATTTAAAACAAATTAAGCAAAAAATTTCATGATTTAATCAATAATTCGTTTAATAATTTGTTTAAACACTTAATTATAAATAAATTATACTCTAATTCCCAGACTTAATTAACACACTATCAAAAATTGATTAAACAATTCATCATTAATTCGTGAAGCGCAAGCAACCAAATAAACACAAATTTTTAAAACAATTAAATCAAGTTATTATTAATATAGTAATAATATTAATTCTTTTATAAATCTTTTTATCGCCAAAAATTAAGAACATTAATATTATATTAATTTTTATTTAAATAAACATTAAACAGCCATCTATTAAGCAATATGTATTAACTGTATAATAAAACAAAATCGCAATTAAAAACATAATCAAAATAAAAGTATAAATGCCTAAATCAAAAATAAATGTATTTGATCTAAAAGTCATTTGGCCTAATAAATAAATAAACAATGTTTAAATTTGTGATTATTTGTGAGTACGCAACTCGCACTATGTGTATAATTAAAAATAAATAAAGTTTGTTGAAATTTGAAAGAAAAATGTTATGAAGTGTTTGTTTAATTTGTTGGGATTGTTTGAGGTTAACTAAACTAGATGGCGATAGATCTTTGTTTTTATTACATGGCAACAGTATTAATTTAATGATGATGATTAAATAATTTTTGATCGCAACATTTAAGTTAGAGTGAGAGATGATTAAAAGGTTTAAAAAGTGAAAATGTTTAATGTACGAACAATTTACGTGAAGATTTTATTTAATTTAACAGTTTTTCTCAGTTTGCTGTTGGTGTTTTTATGTACATTCACAATTCTCGATGGGGTTCGAATTAAAGAAACGCATTCCTCCGATACCCAGCGTCTTCACAATTCGTGGAACGATACCATTAAAAATGAATCGAAAATAATACAACCCGACGATGATTTCAACGTGTGGTTGATTTTTACTAAAGTTATCGATAAATCACCGTTAATGTATAATTTTAAACATTTAATAAACAATTTATTGAAAATTAGCTCAGTGCCTTTACATTTTCATATATTTGTTGATAGCAATTCACAAATTATTGCTGAAAGTATTTTTAATACAACAGAAAATTTTATATTCAAATATACGTATTATAATGTTCATTCTGCAGCGAATAGTATTATGGATATTGTTGATATTATGAAACCACATTTTAGTTCCCGACCAGGTTTGTATTTTTTTATCATATTTAGTACAATTAATTAATTCATTTTCGTTTTAGGAACATATTATAGCGACTCATTATTTTATTTATCATTAGGATTATATCGCATAGCACCTAAGACACAAAAAACAGCTGTTATGCTTGACTGTGATGTATTTTTTAAAGAAGATATATTAAATTTATTTAACGAATTTAAAAAGTAATCACTCCTCAAAAATACAAAATAAAAAAATAATGTATATTTTATTTTTTAGCTTTAATGAAAGTACTCTTTACGGCTTAGCTCCAGAATTAACCCCTGTTTATCGACACGTTTTGTATTCATACAAATTGAAGCATAATACAAGACTGGGCGATTCCTATCCGAACGGTTTCCAAGGTTACAATTCTGGCGTGATCTTAATAAATCTTAGTGCAATAAGAAAATCAAACGAATACAGGCAAAAGGTGCTCTCAACCGAATTTGTATCCACACTCACGTCCAAATACAATTTTAAGGGCCACTTGGGAGATCAAGATTTTTACACTCTACTTGGTTTCGAACATCCGCGGTTTTTTAAAACTTTATCATGTGGTTTTAATCGACAACTTTGCACCTGGTGGCGGGATCATGGCTATAAGGACATATTCGAAGATTATTTTAAGTGTAAACAAAAAGTTATTGTGTTACATGGTAATTGTAATACTCGAATTCCTAGAAAATAAATTATTTTATTTGTTTTATTACTTTTTTTTTGTCTTGTAATATATTTTGAAGATATTTAGATTTAAGGACTTCATGGAATCCAACCTCAACTTAATTTAAAACAGAGAATGACTTGACTTTCATAGTCAAGACAGTTCAGTCTGGATTAAATAAAATTCCAACTTATTATAACCGAAGTAAGGAAAGCCCGCCACATGGAGAGGATGTCAGAGGAGAGGGCGGTAAAATGAGCATACCGACAGAAATCCAAGGATCGACTTCCGGGATGATCGCGCAGACGATGGCTAAACGACGTGGAGGCTGATCAGAGGAGGTTCTGCCATTTCGGATATTTCAGAAAGGAGAATGCATGATTCCATCTAATTAAGCCGAAATTAACAAAATTACGACTCCAAAAATATGGCCCAGCTACCGGTCCAGACCAAATATATGCAGAAACTCTGAAATGATTACAGAAGAAGATAAGTAGAAGAAAAGCAACCTCGGCCGACTTCGAAGACGTCGGCCGCCCCAAATATTTCCAATAGGTCTAGCTAATACTCTGGAAATCTTCTAGAAACCCTTAGAAATATGCAAAATGTTTTGAAGTTGTTTTGGTATTTGTCACCTGGGTGCGGCCGACGTCTTCGAAGTCGGCCGAGGTTGCTTCTTCCATTTGTGTCAAGTGAGATAGGCTTGAAATCACCAGCAATTAGGATTTACAAAGTTTTGGTTTTCGCGAACCAACCTTTGCGCCTAAGTACGAGCCTATCTAGCTTGAAACAGATGGAAGAAGTAACCTCGGCCGACTTCGAAGACGTCGGCCGCCCCCGAATATTTCCAATAGGTCTAGCTAATAGTCTAAAAATCTTCTAGAAACCCTCAGCAATATGTAAAATGTTTTGAAGTTGTTTTGATGTTTGTCACCTTGGGGCGGCCGACGTCTTCGAAGTCGGCCGAGGTTGCTTCTTCAAGCAATTAGGATTTATAAAGTTTTGGTTTTCTCGAACCAACCTTTGCGCCTAAGTACGAGCCCATCTCGCTTGAAACAGATGGAAGAAGTAACCTCGGCCGACTTCGAAGACGTCGGCCGCCCCGAATATTTCCAATAGGTCTAGCTAATACTCTAGAAATCTTCTAGAAACTCTTAGAAATGTGCAAAATGTTTTGAAGTTGTTTTGGTATTTGTTACCTTGGGGCGGCCGACGTCTTCGAAGTCGGCCGAGGTTGCTTCTTCAAGCAATTAGGATTTATAAAGTTTTGGTTATCTCGAACCAACCTTTGCGCCTACGTACGAGCCCATCTCGCTTGAAACAGATGGAAGAAGTAACCTCGGCCGACTTCGAAGACGTCGGCCGCCCCGAATATTACTCTGGAAATCTTCTAGAAACCCTTAGAAATATGCAAAATGTTTTGAAGTTGTTTTGATGTTTGTCACCTTGGGGCGGCCGACATCTTCGAAGTCGGCCGAGGTTACTTCTTCCATTTGTTTCAAGCGAGAGATGCTCGAAATCACAGGCAATAATAATAATAATATTTTATTGTGTTACTAAGCTGTTGCTCATACACTCGTCTAAATAAATACACTTTTAATACATTTTCTTATTTAATAAATACACCAGCATAAACAAAAACCACAAGCTATATGGTGGTTACAATCCGATCCCTGCATTTAGGAACTCCTGCACAGAATAAAATGTTTTCTGACACAACATTTTTTTAAGCTACCTTTAAAAATCCTTCTATTAGACTCTCCTATTAATTCAATCGGCAGCCTGTTAAGTACCACTCGAGATAAGTACTCTGGTCCAAGCTGCGTTTTGGATAAACGGAAGTAATTGTTATAAATTTTATCCTTATTCCTAGTATCATGCTCATGAATATCGGCATGTGCCGCAAAATGTCGCCTGTTATCAAAGCGCATTCGAGAATAAAAAGTGAGGGCAGAGTTAAAATCTTTAATCTATTAAAAACATCTCGGCAGTCTTCTGTGTACCCAAGACCCTCCACTACTCTCACCGCTCTCCGTTGCAGTGCAAAGATATATGCACTACTTGGACTGCTACCCCATGTAAGTATTGAATATGACAACAAGGAATGAATCAGTGAATAATAAGCGCTATATACTAATTAGGAATCTTGCCGCTCCAAATATTTCCAATACCAAAGAATTCCACTTCATGGTATTTGGGGCGGCCGAGGTTTGTTTCAAAGGAGATATGCTCGAACTCACAATCAATTATGATTCACAAAGTTTTGGCATTCTCGAGGTCTAACCAATACTCTAGAAATCTTCTAGATACCCTAAGCAATATGCAAAATGTTTTGAATGTTTGTCACCTTGGAGCGGCCGACGTCTTCGAAGTCGGCCGAGTTTACTTCTTTCATTTGTTGGTGTTTTTTCGGATTTTGGTTCTCCGAATATTTTCAATACCCAAGAATTCCACTTCATGATATTTTGGTCGGCCGAGGTTCCACAAAGTTTTTGGTATTCTCGAGGTGTAGCCAATACTCTAGATATATCATTCCATTCAAAATAACATTCTGTATATCTTAAAGTTTCCGATTTGAAAAGACACTATTTCCAGTATATTCAAGAAAAATGTCTAAAAGATTTTTTTTAAATGTAGGTGCTAATTATGTAAAAGAGAAAGAAGATATTTAAATAATATAGTCATATCTGTTGAGTAATAGCTGTAATAAAAAAAATTTTAACACAAACCGTGTTTGTTGAATTAATAATTTGAATTTAATAATAAAACGAATTATTATTAGTAAACAATGATTAAGTAATTAAGATAATGAAGAATTTAAACATTGGTTGTTCCAAAAAGGTGTTTGTTTATTAGGTCAAATGACGATTAGATATAACAGATATCTCTTTAGTTTTGAAAGTTGTTGTCATTTGTCAAAACACTGACCAAGTCGGAAATAGAAATGAATAAATCTCAATACAGTATTATTAAAAAGTTTATTTGAAAATGTTGAATAATATACCAGTTGAATTTCGTAAATTTAATCGTCACCGGTCGTATTTAAAAAAAATATTAAGAGATACAAATTGTGCTATAGAAGATATTAAAAATGGACAAGTTTTAGGTAGGAATAACATAATATTTTCATGTTTATTTATTAATGTACATATGTTATAGATGAAATAAAACAACAATTAACTTTTTGCACTGTGGAGACGTTGCATAAAGTGTTGGATAACACCCCAGCATTCGTTGTACTTGGTCAAACTTGTTTTGGGAAAGCTTTATTTGTTAATTTTTTACTCAATTATAAACTTTTACCACAAAAACTCAAATCTAATTGGAGATGGGTAAATTATATTGTTCTCACTTTATCCTTAACCTTTTTAATTACAAAATTAAATTTCAAATACAGGTAAAAATCAGTTATGGTATACGTAAATCGTTACGATTAACCTTAGGTTCAGAATATGAGATTGTTGATTCATTAAAGTCATTGCAACAACCTTGGACTGGTATAGCAGAAGATGATTTAAAACGTGATAATTCAGAATCTCCAACAGATCATTGTCCCACAATAGAAGTTGAAATTCCAGCAGAAATTTTAAAAGAGAATATAAACATTTATATTCCGCCCGATTGCGGTTCAGATGAATTACAAAAAGTACTCTCAAAACAATTAGACTCGATTTACCCAATTTTTATCTATGCAGTAACCGAAAATGCGCTCACCGAATCTGATATTCATAATATTCGCGTTTTAAAACAACTTTATTCTGATGCCGCGATTATATTTCTTAGGATAGGTTTATTAGATAATAAAGATCCCGTGGGGTTAAATAAAATCATGATCGATCTTAAAACGCAATTATCACGGCTCGGTTTTTTACCTGATTATCCACAAACGCCAGATTTATCCATTCGAAAAGCGCTTTGTTCTGAGTGTATGGTAGAAAACGAAGTAATTAGTTATATTCAGATTAAAGATCATTTGCATTTGTTCGTAAGAAACGTATTAAAAGCGTATCTATTAAAGCTATCTGCGTTATTAAGCGAATTACATAACGTTTGCCTTCGAATTTTTATTCTATCCGCTTTCGATATGGCGAGAGAGATCCAAATTACTCCTCGAAGAATCCATTACGCCCAAGATGTTGAGCAAAAACTTTTTAAATCACTTATGGATATTGCTCTTATCAGGCAAACTGAAATGGTTAAAATTATCCAGGATTCTCTAGAACAGATGAGGAATAATATTGATGTTGTTTTAGATGGATATGAATATCAAGGTAATTCTAATATACAAATAAAAATTTTTATAATTCAATTTAATTCAATTTATAGAAAACGAAATAAAATTTGAAAAAGTAGCAACCATGGAAATTCATCATTTAGTTTTTCAAAAACTAACAAACATCGTCGCGTCACGTTTAGTACATTCCGTCGGTTACTTGCGTGAAAGTTACACAGGAACCCTCCAAAGATGTCTCGAAAGCTTGGAGAAAAACTGTCATGAACTCGAAGGTAGTCTACTCGCATCCGACGCTGTTAAACAAATCGTTAACGCTGCGTATAACATAGACTTAAAATCGTTTGCGACTTTCTCCCTCGTCCAATCTTTCGTTGATCGGCTTCGAAAATTGGTACAAAACTTCCCGTTCAAATGGCACACGTGCTCCCAAAAAGTCCGATTCGATCGCGAATGGCAACGTCAAGTAATCTTAGAACTTTTAGATTCGCTTAGTTACCACAGATTGGCGAAGACGATTTCATCCCAATTTCAAGAACACGTTAAATCGTCGCACGAGGCGTTTCATTCCGCTATGAGATTAATCGAAAACCAGTTATCTGGACAACTTGAAGAGACTGAAGAGCAACGAATCGATATTCGTAAAAGACTGGCACCGAAATTTGCAAGGCTCGCCCTTGAAAGTACGTCGTTATGTGATCTTATACGCTGGGGGATGCCCAGACAAATTGTTGAAATCGGTAGAGGACAATATGGAGTTGTTTTTGCGTGCGAACCCTGGGGTGGAGTACAACCTTGTGCTGTTAAATCAGTTGTACCACCAGATGAAAGACATTGGAATGATTTAGCGATGGAATTTTATTATACCAGGTAATAGCGATGAAAGAAAAACATTTGACACAAAATGTTGCTCCACTTTTAATATTCTATTATCTGCCGTATTCTAAAAAACAATTGAGCATCTAATTTTCATATATTAGTATTTTTCTCGATATTTATGCATCTAAGAGCAAAAGTGAAATAGAACAATATTGTTAAGAATGAAATTTGCTACAACTTTTGTTCTAAAAGTTTTTTTGTAGTATGAAAATAAATCTCGAGTATGTTCATGATATCTCGGCCGACTTCGAAGACGTCGGCCGCCCCAAGTATCATGAACAATACTTATGGGCGGCCGACGTCTTCGAAGTCGGCCGAGATTATTACTATAAAAGAGATTTTTCTCGATATTTATGCACCTTAGAGCAAAAGTGAAAGAGAGGGATATTGTTAACAATGAAATTTGCTACAACTTTTGTTCTAAAAGTTTTTTTGTAGTACACTCCGAACCTCGAGTATTGTTCATGATATCTATAACCCAACCCAAGTATCATGAACAATACTTTGGGCGCACTAATAAACAATACTATTAGTAGAGTAAATATTGAATTAATGATAATGAATTTTAAAAGAACAATTCCGGAACATCCTCGGATTGTAAAATTAAGAGGATCAGTTATTGATCATAACTATGGAAATGGTTGTCTCTCGGCTGTGTTATTAGTTATGGAGAGGATGAAACGAGATTTATTCTGCGCGTTGAAAGATGGTCTCACATTTATCCGCCGCATTCAAATCGCTATTGATGTTGTTGAAGGAATCAGATATTTGCACTCCCAAGGTCTTGTTCACAGAGATGTTAAACTAAAAAATGTTTTAGTAAGTTTTATTTTTTAATCATCTTTTTATTACTCATTTTTTTGAATTTTAGTTGGATGGAAATGAACGCGCAATGTTAACAGACTTCGGATTTTGCATACCGGAGGCTATGATGTCTGGTAGCGTAGTTGGTACGCCCGTTCACATGGCACCGGAATTACTTTCCGGGCGTTACGATTCTAGCGTTGATGTATATGCTTTTGGAGTACTTTTTTGGTTTTTATGTGCCGGGCGGGTGGAGTTGCCGGGACATTTTGAACATTTTATGAGTAAAGAACAGTTATGGAATAGTGTGAAAAAGGGTATGCGACCCGAGTGTTTGCCAAATTTTGACACGGAATGTTGGAATTTAATGGAACAATGTTGGGCGGCCGAACCGTGCGAGAGACCTTTGCTGGGTGACGTTCAACCCCAATTGGAAGATATTCTCAATAGGGCTACAAAAAAATAGTTTAAATAAAATCTTTTTATGTTTACAGAATATTTTTATAATTGTTATTTAATTGCAAAACCAATTTTATATTATTTATAATTAATTAACTAACACGATGGTTGAAAATAAAAAGAAATTTGCTTTAATAAACCTTCCTCGCGTAATAAATTTAAATAAAAGGATATGGTAAGGGGTTGAAATAAAAAAGCAGCTTTTTTATAATAAATTATACAGTATTTCTTGAGAACTTGTCTTCGATAGATACGATTTTTTATACATCTAATCGTGAATGACTCTAGAAAATAATGGAAGTAATTTATGAAAATGAAAAAATTGGGTCGCAATACTTTGAGAAAGAACTATCTAAATCATGATTAATACAACACTGACACAAATGTTAAATCGTTATGTTGATGAGAAGAATTAATTAATAATAAACGTCGAGACTTATTTTTTTACAATGTGCGATTTCTAAACTAATTAATAAAGTACAATAAACAAGTGAGTATAAAAGTAATATATGTTGATGACGGTGACGTATTTTTAATGTTTTTTTTACTTAAATTAATAAGTATTTAATTAAAAAAACGAAGTTTACGTTTTAATTTTTTTAAAATAAATACAGTGCAATTTTGATGTATCAATAAGTTTCCTAATAGAAAAGAAATTATAAAAAGAGCAAAATTGGAACAAAATACATAACGCAGTTGTTGCCGTTGTGAAAAAATAAAGATACGATTACCATTTCGTCTAAAAATACTTTATACAAACTAACTACTAGGAAATTATCACAAAAAAAATCAACTTTTAATTTGTTTATTGGTTTACGGTTATTTAAAAAGACATTTTAAACGAAAATGTTTAAATAACAACAAAATGGTTCAAATTAATAATCGACATACCTTTTAGCTCGATTTAAAAAAAATATTGCTATGAAGATCTCTACAGATATGAACTTTAAGATGTTAGTTTACTTTTAAACTGGTTAAAATCTAATTGTTGAATTAATAAATTAAAAAATCACAGTTTTGGAAGGTACGTAAACAGTGTTTTAAATAACCGTAAGTTATGATGTGTGTAGGTTATCTACAAAGTTGAAAAAAGAAAACAAAACGAACGAAATAAAAAAAAAATAAAAACGAAGAGTCACAAAAATAATACAATCGAAAGAAAACGTGACTTATCTTTTTTAACCTTACTATATACAATTTTTTGTTTATTACGACCTATTCCGACAAGCTTAAATTCTTTCAAACCACATTTATTGTAACATCCACCAAAAAATCGATTGTACGCTTTTTTCTTTAATAAAATATTAATAATTAATTGATTTGTACTGTACTCCATATAGTTTAAATTAAATGATAATAAAGTGGGTATAATGTTTAAAAAAATGATTAAAATATATTGAACCAATTAATTAATTTCCCATCGTAAAAGTGTGTATCTAGTATTTTTCAAAACAAAAATCAAAAAATTTCTAATTTATCATTTTTTTCTCTCATCATTTTTCATCCATAAACAGGCCACTCAAAAAAGGCAATAATTAACTTCTTTCTGACAAACAAGATAAAGCTTGTTGTTGATTGATAACGGCATCCTCAAAATCAATTTCGACCGAGTTCAAATTCGGCGTTAAATGATCTAAATTAACGAGTCCATTTTTGACGCTACCTTGCGAGCACGTTATACAAATGTAATCTTCGTCCTCGTTAATGTCTTTAATTGAGAGACCAACACACGCCATATGAAACCACAAATCGCAACCACCATCACACTGTACCCACTGGACAACTTCCTCACCAGACGGCTGCAAACATGATTCCACCGCGCATTTATCTTCAATTTCATCATCGTCGGAATGTTCTTGTCCACGACGACAATTTCGTCGACCACGAACTCCACCACCAGTTTCAGAACGACCTGGTTTTAATACTTCTTTTGTTGAATTTGTTGAACGACGCGGTTTTAATTTTTTTACTACTTCCGCTGGTTTTTTACCATTTGGTATTATTTCATTTTCAGAGCGACGTTTTCGACCCTTACGTTGTGGTGATTTTGATACCTATTTTTATTTAAATAAGAAATAATTAGAATTTACAAGTTTTTTATTTTTATATATATTTGGAATTGTTAGGCCCCTCGCACACCAATGCTACGCTAACCATAAGCAGAGATCTACCATCGTTCCTCTGTTCCTAGTGATGTAGCATAAATCAAAATTGTCAAAATTGGATCAGTTATAACGTGAGTACTAAAACTGATGGAGAAAGACGTTATGAATAAAAAATGTTTCTAAAACATCAAGAAATCATAATCCATAATTATTTCGTATTTATCTATCACCAGTTTCTAATGATATAGCATAAATCCCAAAAATGTTAAAATTGGACGATTTTTTTTTAATAAAATGTATTATGACGTGAGTACTAAAACTGATGGAGAAAGACGTTATGAATAAAAAATATTCCTAAAACATCAAGAAATCATGATCCATAATTATTTCGTATTTATCTATCACCAGTTTCTAATGATACAGCATAAATGTCAAAATTGGACGATTTTTCTTAATAAAATCAGCTATAACGTCATTACCAAAAGTGATGGAGAAAGACGTTATGAATGAAAAATATTCCTAATGCATCAAGAAGTCATAATCCATAATTATTACATATTTATCTATCACCAGTTTCTAATAATAACAGCATAAATGTCAAAATTGGACGATTTTTCTTAATAAAATCAGCTCTAACATGAGTACTAAAATTGATGGAGAAAGACGTTATGAATAAAAAATGTTCCTAATACATCAAGAAATAATAATCCATAATTATTTTATATTTATCTATCACTAATTTCTAATGATATAGCATAAATCCCAAAAATGTTAAAATTGGACGATTTTTCTTAATAAAATTAACTATAACGTGAGTACTAAAACTGATGGAGAAAGACATTATGAATAAAAAATATTCCTAATGCATCAAGAAATTATAATGCATATTTATTTCATATTTATCTATCACCAGTTTCTAATGATATAGCATAAATCCCAAAAATGATAAAATTGGATGATTTTTCTTAATAAAATCAGCTATAACGTCATTACCAAAACTGATGGAGAAAGACGTTATGAATGAAAAATATTCCTAATGCATCAAGAAGTCATAATCCATAATTATTACATATTTATCTATCACCAGTTTCTAATGATAACAGCATAAATGTCAAAATTGGACGATTTTTCTTAATAAAATCAGCTATAACGTGAGTACTAAAATTGATCTAGAAAGACGTTATGAATAAAAAATATTCCTAATGCATCAAGAAGTCATAATCCATAATTATTTCATATTTATCTATCACTATTTTCTAATGTTATAGCATAAATCCCAAAAATGTTAAAATTGGACGATTTTTCTTAATAAAATGAATTATAACGTGAGTACTAAAACTGATGGAGAAAGACGTTATGAATAAAAAATATTCCTAAAACATCAAGAAATCATAATCCATAATTATTTCGTATTTATCTATCACCAATTTCTAATGATATAGCATAAATCCCAAAAATATCGAAATTGGACGATTTTTCTTAATAAAATTAACTATAACGTGAATACTAAAATTGATGGAGAAAGACGTTATGAATAAAAAACATTCTTAATGCATCAAGAAGTCATAATCCATAATTATTTCGTATTTATCTATCACCAGTTTCTAATGATATAGCATAAATCCCAAAAATGTTAAAATTGGACGATTTCTTTTAATAAAATGAATTATAACGTGAGTACTAAAACTGAAGGAGAAAGACGTTATTCTAACAAAATGGCGTCCCGGTTGCGTAGCGTTTGTGTGCGAGAGTTATTTTAAATAAAAAAATTATTACTTACATCAAAATCAACGAGGATTAATTCCTTATCATGATCTCTACTGGCAACGACAAGTTGCCATAGTTGTGGTAATTCATCCAAAGTGACCTCTAATAAATCACCTTCGACCATTAAATCTTCTAACTGTTCTTTGACGGTTTCGCTTAAACGTATCATATATTCCGATTCTGAGTTTCTTGCCAAATGCATCGAATATGTATGTTCGTCCTGACAATTTTCGGAGTCTTCTTTACCACTGTCATCGGAAATGTTCCCACAATAATTACCGATAGGGCTGGCATTACCATCGGTAACATCTTCGGGAGAGGAATGAATAATCCCATTAATTGTATTCAAAGAATTTTTGTCGTTTTGTTTGGATTTTTCGCCGTTGTATTTTTGATTAATTCCGTTGAGTTTTATTGAAGCCGATTCGAGTTCGTCACTCTGCAATAATTGTCTGGCGCGATCTTGCCAGTTCATCGCGCGCTCGGTCAAACATTGCAGAGCTTCACCTTCGGGTAATCTCGTATGTAATTTTTGTAAGGACATTAATAAACTGAGAATCGATTCGAGTTTTGGTCGGCGCGTTCTTAAACAGTTCGGGCACAAAAATTTGCTGTCTTTGTAACCGATTTGAAGCATAGCGGTGGTTAGATTAGACTTGATTTTTGTGTTTGCTATCTTTGGTAATGTAACGCAAGTAGAATGAAACCAATCCTTACATAAATCGCATGACATCATGATACCAAATGAACCTTTTTGGCAAATACAAAATGTTGCGTCCGGGTTTTCTAGGCTTTTCTCTAAATTTTCTTTTCGCAAACTTTTTAATCCGATCATTTCTTTTTCTTCTGCGTCTTTAAATCGGGCCACTACCGTGGTTGGGTCCATGTTATCTCTTAATAAAATGTACTCGTCCTCATCTCGGCGTTTCCTTCCTTTTGTTATTGTAAAATTTAGTTTTGGTGATAAAGCGTCCATTAGATTTCCGGTTGAATTCTTTCGTAAAAATATTCGACTCGTTTTCTCTTTCCATGATAAAGCTGAAGTGACGAACGATTTTAAGCGCTCCACTTCTTCAAGTTGGAACTGAAAACCTTTACTTTTTTTGATTAAATCTTCAATCGAGCATAAATACGGATAAAATTCAAGGGAATTCATTTCTTGAAGTTGTTTGAACCATTCGTTCGCGCTATTTAAGCTGTCGATTAATACATTTTCCGTTGGTAAAAACACTTCAATCTCGCAAGCTTCTTTGATTAATTGTTCGGCTTCTGAAATGATATCAGAACCGGTTTTCTTTAATAATTCTTGAGCGCGTTGTTCCCATTCTTCAGCTTCCGTGATTAATGTTTGTAGTTCCAATAAAACGTTGGAAATAACGCTATCATATGGGAAAACGTTACCCGATTGTACCAATTTTTTTAATGTGTCAATGTCGGCCACATCCCCCAAGTGTCGAGTACTTTGTACTTCACACAACCACTTTAATTTTTTTAAACGATCTTGCATTGGTTGTAAAGATGGTAATTCAATGCATAAATCGTTGCTGTTATTAACCAAGTCCTCCACTTGCTGCATTAAACATTCTTTTAATGGTAAACTTAGGATTCGTTTGCTTTCTTTTTCAAATTCCGAAGTTTTCGTTAAAAGCTCTTTAATGATTTTTTCCTCGTCTAAAATACATGCTAAACTATCAATCTCGTCGCAAAACAAAGTTAATTCCTCCAACGTTAATTTGCTTTTATGGTCATACGAGTTTCTGGTGCGAATTTTGTTTAAATCCAACTGCCTTATGACGCTAGCGCATTTCTCCGCATCCTCGATCGCGTTCGCTAATGTCAATATCAAGTCGGACTTTGGAAAGTGTTTTCCTTGTGCCTCTTGAAACAGTTGTCGCAATTCGTCCAAGTGCATTGATTTCGGCGTGTTTCTATCTAAAGCGTCCTTTACTTTATCGGCCCAACGGTCGAATGACTCCGCTTTCGTCTTTAAATTGCGTAATAACGGAAGCAACTCATCTAGCGTGTAGCGATAACGTAAAGTTCTACTTTTTGGAGAACATTTACATAATTCGGAATAATGACGAAGACAAACCAGAACGTTTGTGTTGCACGAACATGATATCGCCGACATGAAACACGTCGTTTTACACACATCGCATTGACGTTCATCGTCAGGAAGTAATTCGAAAGCTTCGCGCTCAGCGTTTGTTACACCCTATTAAAATTTAAAAAAATTAAATCAAATCATTTAATAATTTTAAATTTAAACTTACCCAGTCTAATAAACTTTTCCTTAATTTCTTTTCAGTTTCAACCATTCGCAACATATCTTGATAAGTAGCGGCGGCAACGGTGATATCTAATTTATCTGGATTAGCAGCCATCTTACAAACTAATTCATCATGGGAAAAGACGCAAAATCGTCTTAATTGCGAATAATGCAACACGCATTCTCGTCCCATGCAAACCCAATCGGCTGGTGCAAAATTGACAGCTTCAGCGAAGTTATAACCTTGATTAAAACCAGCGTGATAAGCTCTTGGAAATGTAATGACGAATTCTCCGGCATGTTGATCGGTTCGGTAAACAGGAACACCAGCGTTCATTAATATGTTAGGATTCATAATTGTTACTAATTGATGTAATAAATCTGGTTGGGATTGGAACAGTTCAGGGGCTGCGGATTTCATGGTTTCTTCAAACATCTCGGCTTTCGAACCGGGAACTCCATACCAAGTTTTTGGTTCACCCCAGTGAAGATAATTAATGGAATAACTCCAGTGATCCTCGTTGTGCCAACAGAACGTCGCAAAACACATCCCTACGTACATCCACGGTACTTTCATTCCCGATATATCGGCGTTTATGTAACCGAGAACGGAACCTTCCAAAACTGGAAGATTATTCAAATTCCAACCAGAGTAAGCGTACTCTTGGTCGCCGGGAAGTAAATTCAACGAGTTCTTTGTTGGAAAACCCGAACCGTGATCCATTGTATGCAAATCTGCGCCATATTCGACAGTTACATCCTCGTCTATGGAAGACACTATGCGCCAAAATTCTTTTTCCACTATCGATGTTGGTACAAGCTAAAAATCATAATTAAAGAATTAAAATGAACATTAACCAATATAATAATTATTTACATGAACCGGCATGTTGAAATAATCACTTTTAAATTGATCAGCCATTTCACCAAATTGTTGCAAATTGTATTCGCGTTGGGCCTGTTCGAATCCAAATGCTTCGGTGGGTTTGGAAACTTCCTCAGCAACGCATTTCGGACAACACCAATCGCCTTTCGGGATTTCGACCAACGGTGGCATTAAACAGAATGTATGATAGCTATCATCGCAACCATCACAAAGTAGCATGTACTCTTCGGAATCGCCGCGATTGCAGTTATGACAAACATACTTTGCCAACTAAAGAAAAAAAGTTACTTTAAAATAACACGAAAGAAAAGTTATTATTACCGGGTCTATATCCATATCGTAGTGAATTAATTTCGATCGAGCTTTCTCATCTTTTTTGTCTAAATTATAACCGGCCATTTTTGGACCAGCCCCGTAAAATTGAAGACGTTTCAGTTCTTTATTGTTATCACCATCGCCGTTATCGTCGGCCATTTCATCTTTTATTTTAACCTAAATATCAAAAAAATATTAGTTCATTATTCTAAGTGAGGTGAGATGCATTTTTTATACGCAGAGATTTGGCTCTAGCGTGCCCTTTATGCAACTCGCGGAGCCTCAACCTGGAAATTGAAGTTGATGATCATAGCAACCCTTTAACCTGGATGCCTTCATCCCAGTTATAGATGAAATCTCAGAACTAATAATTAAAACCAATATTTGTTGGTATTAGATAACAAAGCCGAACTGGAAAGAGCGATAAGAACTTGGCCCAGGCATCTCAAAGAATACGGCTTGAGAATTAATTTTAGATCAAACAGATATGGCAGGCAGGATGTGATGGGGATGTGACCCAGGAAGTGAGATACTGCAGCTGAGATTCCAAAAATGGAGATTATAAAAATAAGTGCTTGATTTTAGCTGTAACAGTAGATATCTTAATTATTGTTTTATATATTTTATTTTTGTACTTTTCTCGATACTTATGCATCTGAGAGCAAAAGTGAAAGAGAGCAATATTGTTAAAAATAACATTTGCTACAACTTTTGTTCCAAAATGAAAAATCGATTAATTTTGGTCGTTTTAAATAAGTTATATTATAATCTTAGATTCTTGCCTTTATTTGCTTCGTAGATTTCGGCTGCCTCAAACATTGTTCGTGATTTAAGAAATAATCTCGGCCGATTTCGAAGATGTCGGCCGCCCCAAGTGTCATAAACAATGCTTACGGCGGCCGACGTCTTCGAAGTCGGCCGAGATTAGTTCTTCCATAAATTTCAAGCAAAATAGACTTGGTTTCATGCTGCCAATTCCGAGTGATACCATTAAAAACGTCTAAAACTACAAGTTCAGGAAATTTTCACATTTTTCTCGATATTTAAGCATCTGAGAGCAAAAATGAAAGAGAGCAATATTGTTAAGAATGGAATTTGCTACAAGTTTTGTTCTAAATTTTTTTTTGTAGTATGCTCCAAGAATCCTTCGTGATATAATAAATAATCTCGGCCGACTTCGAAGACGTCGGTCGCCTCAAGAATCGTTCATGATATAGGAAATAATCTCGGCCGATTTCAAAGACGTCGGCCGCCACATATAAACAATATTTAGAGCGGCCGACGTCTTCGAAGTCAGCCGAGATTATTTCTTTCATAAATTTCAAGCAACACTTGGTTTTACGCTCCCAATCCCGAGAATTTTGATATTTTCGTATTTTTCTCGATATTTAAGGATCTGAGAGCAAAAGTGAAAGAGAGCAATATTGTTAAGAATGAAATTTGCTAACACTTTTGTTCTACAATTTTTTTTGTAGTATGCTCCGAATTCGGACTCAGCCGACGTCTTCGAAGTCGGCCGCCACATATAAACAATATTTAGAGCGGCCGACGTCTTCGAAGTCGGCCGAGATTATTTCTTCCATAAATTTCAAGCAAGGTACACTTGGTTTTACGCTCCCAATCCCAAGAATTTTGATATTTTCGTATTTTTCACGATATTTAAGGATCTGAGAGCAAAAATGAAAGAAAGCAATATTGTTAAGAATGAAATTTGCTAAAACTTTTGTTCTAAAATTTTTTTTGTAGTATGCTCCGAATTCGGAATTGGCCGCCTCAAGAATTCTTCGTAGTCGTCTGAATCCAAAGTGATACCATTAACAACTACAAATTCAGCAAATTGTCTCAAAAGTTACAAGATCATATTAAGTGTGCAGCAACTTTTATCAGTTGAGATATCTGTTGTGACAACTAAAATCAAAGACACTGTATGACTCTAAATTGGCTGGTATTCAATTTATTTGTAGGGTTCCAACATATTTCCAAATAAGGAGTCGACTTATTTGTTTTATAAGAAGCATTTTTAAGATAGGGAAATAACGCCTAGGATTAATAAATAATATAATATATAAAATAATTTTATTTACCTCAGTTTTTGGTTTAATATCACTTTCAGATAACTTCTTTTCCCTCCTACGACATCCACCTTTCTTATTAATCATCATTCGACTTTCAATGCGATGAGGTTTATATTCCTCATCATCATCATTCTTCATGTCCGGTGGAAGCTCTTTTTTCAAATTTTTAATACTTTTGCCTTCCGAAAACACCTCGTATGGGTATAATAATCGTTCGTAATGCGTTTTTAAGATGGCTCCGATGCTTTTCCCTTGCGGATAACCCATCATACTCGCGACTTTCGACCATTTCCGGTCTTTGGTGACAGAATTAAATCCGCCTTCACTGTGTACTATTCTATGCAGTGTGTATAAATCGAGGGCGCGTTTTTCTACCATGGGGATTTTAAGAGAAGATCCTTGTAGTTCCCAAAACTTTGCTATTTGATCGAGAAAATTCAATTTGATCCTTGTTTTTGCTTCCAACTCGTTCAATCTTTGTATTCTTGGTGTAAATTTTAATTTATCCACATCTACTGCAAATGGCGGTTGCCAATTCTAGAATTGTATAAGATAAAGAAAAATGAATTTATTTTTGTTTTTGTAAAGTGTAATAGAAAAGAATAGAACGTTATTTGTGGCACACCCTATTAATTTATCTTAGAAAAAAGTATGATAAAATGGCTGATAACTTACTGGTGGTGGTTTTATTTTGCAAATACCACATTGTTCAGCAATACTCCTTATTTTATCGATGTAACTAAGCGGATCGCTAAATTCCTCTTCGGAGGGTAAAAAAACGGGAGCCTCAGGTGGTACGATGAAATCAAAAGGCTCATTCTTGGCATTGTTGTAATCTCCATTGGATAATTCTATTCGTTTATCTTCTCTAGTAGCCATCCTTTTCGTATATTTACATAGTTGATCTAGATTATCAGGAAATAGTTGTAAAAAAAGTTTGTACTTTTACCTGCGTTGAGCAGGTAAAAATTTCTTTTTCTTGGGAAAATGAAGTCGAATAAGTCGAAACGTGTTATCTCGCATTGTTACAAAACGAATCATAAAAGAGCCGAGTTTTTATGAAACGAGGAAGAATTCAGTAATTTAAGAATGAAATGGTTCATTTTAAAATTAACGACGAGAAACGAACAAAAAAAACTTGTACCAAACTGATTCTACGTATAAAGTGACAAAATGTGTAGCTCACTTTCAATCATGGAGTGTATGCATATATATTTCATAAAAGTTCAATTTCTAAAACCGTTCCGTTAACAAAATAGTAAAACAAAAAAACGCGACACAAAAACAATTGCTAAACAACGGGGAAACAAAATGTGAGAAAAAATCAACTTACATTTTTGTTCCCCTACATAATAACACCAACCCACAAAATCCCAACAACAAGGTTTTTTATTTTCTCTCCTTTATTACGGTCGCACACCAAACATCGGGAACTCTCCCTACTCATACATCGATTTGCTGTGGTGGTACAGCGCAAGAGAAACGGCGAAAAATAGGCTGTAAATTAAAACTTTACACCATGGCAATAGTGACACGTCTTCCTGAAATTAATTTTTATATTCGCGCACGTACGAAAAAAAGAAAACCGACCCGATGTAATCGTCCCGTAAAAACTCTGGTTTAAAAATGAGTTCTCTCGTGAGTTTCCGAGCCTTACGCGAAGCTTATAGGTTATAAAGAGCTACTACGTGATGTACAGTCGGCCAGCGAATGACTGTACATAACTGTTGGGTTTGTTAAATGGCACAGCCCAATTGATTTTTACATGGACGATTATTTTGCATCACATTATGATTGCTTCCTAACTTCCAAATAATGTCGCTATAAAGCCTTACAAACAATCGGAAATTAAACCAAAATTACTAACCAAATTCCTTCTTTACATCACATTACACAAATCGCTGTTATAACAACCAATTTCGTATTTTATTGTCAATTTTTACTTTACTTTTAAAACTCACAACAAATAACGCCATCTAGTAAATACCGTTCGAAATACTTTCTTAGGCTATTTGGGTTATCTATTTTCAACTTCAAAATTTAAAACTTCAAATTAATTAATTATCATTATTATTATTGCTTAGTATTGCTCCAAGGTCTTGTTCCTTTATGTCTTTAGGCGTCAAAAGGGAAAATTTTGTGTCTGGCAACGCAATTACACAGTATATGTTCAGCCGTTTCTGACTGTTTCTGACTCAGCTTGTCCAATGTGGAAGAGGTGATATTTTAGACATTTGCTGAGGCATAAAACCTGTTTATTCATCATACTCTTCGCTTGTCTGTGACATGGAAGTTCTTTCCAACGATTGAGCCCTCCCAACTGTTTATTACTTGTTTTAGGTGTTTTTTTGTAGTCCACAACCGGATTGGGGTCCAATAAAGGGCGTTTTAGCTGCGTCAACAACAACATTGACCCAGCGAGTTCTTTCAGGTTGCTGGTACACTCTCTGATCAGTTCGGAGTATGCCAGAATTGCCTTTAGGGCGGCCCGACTGTCTGTGAAAATGTTTATGGATGCACCTTTCTGTCCCTTTTGTAGGTTCAAAGCGTTTATAGCAAGAATTTCTGCTTGAAAAATGGTTATTCGAAAAAAATAAAATAGAAACACAATAAATATACATCTCGAGTACTGAACAACTATCGATTAGGATGCAATATTTTGATCGGGAAACCAAGGAAGTTCAAGAAGTATTCCTCGGATTCGTCAAGCTTGACGCTTTAGATGCGAAATGATCAGTTTTTGGCAGAAGAAGATCTTGATTCGGACAAATGCGTTGGTTTAGGATTTGATGGCAGAAAATATAAAAAAGCTTTGTTCTTTCACTGCTCGTCACACAAATTAAATCTCATCATTAATGATCTAAATAGTCTGTCTGACATCCGAAACATCGAAGGTACCATCAAAGATATTATTAAATTTTTTCAAGAATCAGTTTTGAGACGTAAATTGATACCAAATATTTCCAGGCTTTGCGAAACAAGGTGGAGCGAGAAACACAAAAATATTAGAGTTTTTAAAGAGAATTTTTCTATTATAATGCTTCATCAGCTGCATGGAGCAGCTGCTAGAGTTTCGTTTATTCTCAGAAATGTGCTTCAATCCGTAGCTTTGGATGTACTTAAGACATCCCAGCATATTAGTCGCATTTTGCAATTGATAAAAAACCACCATAACGTTCCAGAAAACGTCACAGATGAAATTATTTGGAACTACTATCGTTGCAGAAAAACTTGGAATGGGAGAAGACATGAAATCAGTGTCAGTATTGTTGGGAGACAACAAAATCGGAACAACCACCCAGCAGCAAGCATAATACCATACTTAGACTCGATTATTAATTCCTTAAGTCATTTTCCTTATCTAAATTACATCTGGCTCAAATGTTAGACATGTCCCTTGAAGACCTCGTAGGAGTTGGTGGAGTCTTTTTCCAATTTTAAAATTTATCAAATATCAATGACAAAAACTATGGCAAGATAAACCTGACTCAAAAAAACTAAGTGTTGTGGATGTCATAAAAGAGGTCGACATTTTTTCCCTGAAACGAGAAAGGTTCTTATAATTTTGGTCACGACATATACTGTTGAACGATCTTTTAGCAGCTTGAGGAGAATAAAAACCTGGCTTAGAAGCACTATGACAGAATGTCATCTTAATAGTCTTGCCATGATGAGTGTGTATAAGAACCATATTTTTGAGAACTTTGATGGTTTTATTAATAATCTGGTTTAGAACCCAAGAAAATTATGTTTTAAATAATTTAGTCTGTTTTTTTTTTCCTTGGGGGGCTATTTTCCCAGCCCCCATTTCCATTTTTTTGTCCAGCCCCCCCTGGTTCCAGATCCAACTGTATTTGAAGCATCCAAGACTATCTATCTTGTTGGAAACGAGTATTCTCATTCACAAGCACTTGTGGAATGAAAAAGGTTTCCAGCATTCTGGAAACTGTATGGCAGTAACTCAAACTGTAACTGCTACGACGCCTTGCAAATCTTGCAACTACCGCTTTTTTTCTTATTGTTTCACTGTTTTTAAGTTAAAAATGTCCAAACAGAAATGGCTTTCCTACTCAGATAGATTTCTTTATTGTGTTATTAAGAAAGACTTTAACTGTGATTTTAGCAGAAGTCTATTAAGCAGTAGAATGCTGGGTTCAAGACTACATCCAGAAGATTACCACTTCTTTTGAGAGGCCAACTCACAATATCCTGGATATCACGTATCTTCACTTCTTTTATGGACCATTCTGCTGTTTTGAGGATCTCATCTTCTTCCTCACCCATATTTATAATGTTATGTATTGTGCCAAGTTGTATTATTCTTGTTATTTTTGAATCGATTTTTTTTCTCTTTGTGGATGAGTTCATTTACATTGATCTTGTTTGCCTTTTCCACCAGCTATCTGGGTATTATTAAGTTGTCCTTGGTTGCAGTATTTGCAACCTGACTCAAAAAAACTAAGTGTTGTGGATGTCATAAAAGAGGTCGACATTTTTTCCCTGAAACGAGAAAGGTTCTTATAATTTTGGTCACGACATATACTGTTGAACGATCTTTTAGCAGCTTGAGGAGAATAAAAACCTGGCTTAGAAGCACTATGACAGAATGTCATCTTAATAGTCTTGCCATGATGAGTGTGTATAAGAACCATATTTTTGAGAACTTTGATGGTTTTATTAATAATCTGGTTTAGAACCCAAGAAAATTATGTTTTAAATAATTTAGTCTGTTTTTTTTTTCCTTGGGGGGCTATTTTCCCAGCCCCCATTTCCATTTTTTTGTCCAGCCCCCCCTGGTTCCAGATCCAACTGTATTTGAAGCATCCAAGACTATCTATCTTGTTGGAAACGAGTATTCTCATTCACAAGCACTTGTGGAATGAAAAAGGTTTCCAGCATTCTGGAAACTGTATGGCAGTAACTCAAACTGTAACTGCTACGACGCCTTGCAAATCTTGCAACTACCGCTTTTTTTCTTATTGTTTCACTGTTTTTAAGTTAAAAATGTCCAAACAGAAATGGCTTTCCTACTCAGATAGATTTCTTTATTGTGTTATTAAGAAAGACTTTAACTGTGATTTTAGCAGAAGTCTATTAAGCAGTAGAATGCTGGGTTCAAGACTACATCCAGAAGATTACCACTTCTTTTGAGAGGCCAACTCACAATATCCTGGATATCACGTATCTTCACTTCTTTTATGGACCATTCTGCTGTTTTGAGGTTCTCATCTTCTTCCTCACCCATATTTATAATGTTATGTATTGTGCCAAGTTGTATTATTCTTGTTATTTTTGAATCGATTTTTTTTCTTTTTGTGGATGAGTTCATTTTACATTGATCTTGTTTGCCTTTTCCACCATCTATCTGGGTGTTATTAAGTTGTCCTTGGTTGCAGTATTTGCTGAAATATCTTAATATAAATCAAAAAAATTGCTTTTATTAATGTTCCTTTATTCTTTCTCCTTAATTAGATACATAAATAACATAATTTATCAAAAAAACCTATTGCTAATGAAATTTGATTTGATTTTAAGTGCAGTGCATTAATTATTTTAAGTAGAAAATAACACAATACAAGTGTATTATTTATACAAGCAACATTCAAGCTTAGTGACTAGATAAATAATCCAACATGCTTAATTTTCTTTACTTTTTTTTAATTTTAGGAGAAGTAGATTGAAATACGCTCGAGGCAGACATTAAATTTTCAATATACTGCCCTAAAACTTGATTTTCAGATCTCAATTTTAAGTTTTCCTCTTTGACACTATCAACGCGTTGAGATAAATCATCGAGAGTGTTTTGGAGCTCGAGAACTTGGGAAATTAACCTTGCTTTTTCCTCTTGTTCGTCCGGGCTGGAATCAGCCTCCAAGCTATGATGTTGTGGGCTGCTACTCCCGTTAGTAAATGTGGATTGAATCGATTCCATGCTACGGCCGTGGATCATACTTGAAGAGTTCGCCTCAGAAACTGAATTCGCATCTTGCTCATCAGGAATAATAACTATATCAATTTATTAATATCATCAAATTTAAATATAATAAAAGATTTTCTTACCTTGGGGATCATCGTCAGCTAAAGGAATGTTATCGTCTTGTAATTTTGCCCCTGCCATATTATTTTACTTGTTTTAGGGCGAAAACGTTATAATTCGATCGAATTAAATTGGACCAGTTGGTTGACGTTTATGACGTTTGTTTGGTTATGTTAGTTTCAGCTATTCATTCATAGATGGCGAAAATTAAAAAAAAATTTAAAAAAGGCGCGTTATTTTTAAATTTAAACACAAAATTATAATTAATTTGATGATGCTTTAAAAGGCTTTTTGGAATCGGGACTTCCTGAGTAAATTGCCCATATGCGTGTATAAGTAAACATCCAATTAACGTTTACATTGTACTTTATATAATTTATGATGAGATGTAATCACGACATGTTTGTATTGTATCATATCTAATTGATGGATTTGTTAGTTTTATTATAATTTTTTTATTTTCATCGTACTAAATTATTAATTTTTGTGCTTTAAAACGTCCTAGGATAAACCTTGTAAAATGAGATCAATGATTCAACAAGAGCAAGAACAACTTGACTCAGCTTCTTCCTTTTTTCTTTGAGGTCGAGTATGGTGTAAATTTTTGAAATTTTTTTGTAATCAGGGAAATCCTGCTACATCTCGGAGGAGACAGCGCTTTCATATCTTAGTAGTAATACGGTAACATCGTAAATCTGGTATAATCGACCTTAACAATGGCCTTCTGTGCATTTCGCGTCGTTCGTTTAAATACTCTCACCGCAGAAGTTGTAGGTTCAGTGTTGAATTATCTTTACAAATAACAACAACCCATTTTTTGAAGATGATGCGATTGGTGTGTTTATTAGTTGTAACATCTTTTATAAGTAACGTTTCAGGTCAAGGTGCGTATTTTCTTAAAAAAAGTTCTTTGGAAAGAGATAACGTTATCATTAATATAATAACATTTTGAAACTTTAATTACGCAATCAATTTTGATTTCTAGATCGTTATTGTACAACACCATTGAGGGATGATGGAAGATGCATCATCATAAACTCCTGCGAGCCGTTGATAACCCTCTTAAAGACTCAAAATCAAAACCAAGAAATCCGAAATTATTTGGTCCGATCAGTTTGTGGTTATTCCGGAAATTTACCAATGGTTTGTTGCCCACAATACGGAAGGAGCCTTCCCGACACCTCATCTACTTCATCAACAACTCCTTCCACAACAACCGCAAAAATCAACGATAATCTCGAAGATCGATCCTCAAACAGTTTACCCACTTTTCCAGGATGTGGTTTAACAAATTCCACCGATTTTCGTGTGGTTGGGGGAACCCCCGCAAAATTGGGACAATTTCCTTGGATGGTTGCGCTTGGTTATAGAAACTCAAAAAATGAAAATCAACCCAGGTGGTTATGTGGAGGAAGTTTGATTACTAAAAAACATGTTTTAACAGCTGCTCATTGTGTTAAAGGGAGGGATGATTTGTAAGATTAAACTGACTTTTTTAACTTTTTTAAACTTTCACAAAAAAATATTTCTTTTAGATATTTAGCAAGACTTGGCGAATTAGAATTGTATTCAGACACCGAAGGTGCTAATCCAATAGATGTACCGATAATCGATAAAGTGATTCACGCCGATTATAATACTATGCATTACACGAACGATATTGCAATATTGACTTTGGCAAACAAGGTTGAACATCGTAAGTGTTTAATTCTAATTCGAAGCGTCGGGTATCCGTTAAAAATAGAATTTTAATAGTTGCTCGTATGGTTGCGCGTAATACGATCGACCGCTTAGACAACATCCTGTTCAAATGCATTCAAAAGAAAAAAAAATCCTTGAATGAATTTATTTTTTTTTGGGTTTCGGTCAACGTATCGTTGGGCAATCTCAATAGATTTTCGTCCATGAATTTATATATATCGACATTGACATTTTTTTTTAATACAATAGAAAAGACTTTCTTTTTTTACTTAATGAAAAACAATTTTTTTTCTAGCCTCAGTTTGGCCGATTTGTTTACCAACTTCGCCCAGTTTAAGGTCGCAAAAATTTGTTAAATATTATGGGTTCGTCGCCGGGTGGGGATCAATATATTTTAGTATGTATTATTTAATGAAATACTAAGTTGTGTGTAAAAAATAAATTTTAGATGGCCCATCAAGTAGCACACTTCAATACGCAAGTGTGCCGATTGTGAGCACAGAAACGTGTAAAGCAGCATTTTCAAAAATTAAACAGGCGATAATTGACGATAACGTGCTTTGTGCTGGATATCCGGATGGTTCAAAAGATTCGTGCAAAGGCGATTCTGGCGGTCCTTTTATGTTGCCGAGACAGGAAAATGGACAATTTGTGTATTATTTGTTTGGTGTTGTTTCTTATGGTGTCAAATGCGCCGAGCCTGGGTATTACGGGGTTTATTCGAGCACTGGAGCTTTTTTTGATTGGATAACGGCGAATTTACGTTGATACCGTACTTGTTATTTATGATGTAATTAATAAAAATAGTAATAATTGTTTATTGTTATTTGTACAAAAATTATATATATATAAAATAAAGAAATTAAAATAAAAAAATGTTTTTACTTTTATTAAACTATTATCTGCCTAAGTTAGAGACAAGTGCTACATGGATCCATCTTCATTAAAAAATTACCTTCGAGACAACGACTCATTTATTAGCGTGTTATCACATCGAAAGAAACAAAAAGATAAACGAAGTTTAGGATAATAACACAAAGCAAATTAATATCGTATTTTTTATGACTGGATCTCGAGTCAACATCCTCGGACACATATTTTTCTTTTGTTTCATTGCATCTTTCGATCTAAAATATTTTCAAAATGGTGGCCACTTTATCTTACGCCTTCTAAAGGTTTAGGGCAAATTTAGGTCCTTGATGAAACTTAGTATTGCTTCTTTGCTGTACATATCACACTATCAGTACATTTAATCCCTGAGGATTTCGAGATGTCTTCTGAGATTACCCTGCATCATTTTGAGTTAAGAGACAAGGCCCACAATTACCTTAAGGTTGTTAAGAATAATCACCAATTATAAATAACCTTTCGATATAATTTATGAAATCTCGATCAATGACCTACTTAAGAACTTGAATCTCGAGGATGTTGATGAATCACCCCTTATAAATAAGCTTATCTTTCATTACGAATAATTTCTTGGCAATTTTTTAGATGTTTCTATGAATCCTAATGAATTAAATTTCTAGTAATGTGATATCATTTAAAAAGTATTATTTTATGATGTCACTTATTCAAGGATAACGTTGTTTTTGCCTGTTTGGTCAGTAAGGGAGATGTAAAAAGTGATGCAAGTTAATTGAATGTAAGTAATTGAAATTCAAAGACAAGTGTAAAAGGTCAAAATTGTATTTATAAATAATATATTAAAAAGTTATATTCGAATCATATAGTCTTAGAGTCATGAATATTTAATTTTTTGTAAATTTATGATAATTGTATTGAACGAAACAACCGCAAAATAATTTCGAATTAGAATTTTCTAAGTGTGGTGAATTCAAATAAGATTCGGGGAATAATAACAAAAAAACGAAATGCTGGATAAATTTAAAGGTATATTTTTCAAATAGTACAGATTATCTTATCTCTTATATATTTTTTTTTACAAGTCCCTTCGGAAAATATAAACAATATAAATTCTTTTATTTTCAATAGAAAAACTTTCACCTGTAAAATAATTACCATTAACGCAAACATAAAATATATCTCAATAAACAGCTTAATGATCACCCAATTAATAAATAATGAATAAAACAATTTATTTAAAATCGTCTTTTTTGTTTTTTTCTCCACTAACAATCCTTGTTCATATTCGATTTATTTATTTATTTTGTTTCAATTTTTTTTTAGTTTTTTATGGTGTCTTAGACACATAAAGGATGACACATCGAGAAAGAACATAAGATCGCTAAGCAACACCTACATTGTATACGTTTTGAAAACATCATTAGTACACCGACGGGAGCCGCGATATTTCGGGCTCCCTCATTTTATTTTATTTAATTTTTTTTGTTTATGTAGTCATCTTGAACTTTTATGGTAGCTTAACAGACCAGTTCGCAAGTATCCGGCGGTTCTGACCTCAACAAATGATTCACATCTAATAAATATCGAACTGAGTGACGTGCCATTTCGCGACATTCCATATCATCATTGCATAAATAATCGGTTTTATTTAAGAAAAGCATGTTGCATTGACGGGTTGGACTAAACCAACTATTATCAGCCTAAATAAAAAAAAATGTAATATATTTTGTTAAAATTTTAAAATTGTACTTACACAAAGTAAACACATTTGATGCATAGCACAAGCTGGTTCAAAAATTTTTCCATAATGACCCAAAACGGTAGCAACCTCGCTACAAACACGTTGTACTTTGGGGCAATACTCCAAAGTGTTTCCATCGCGCATTTCTCCATATTTATCTTTAGAACAATTTTCATCGGTACATTTAATATTATTGTCAAATTCTTCTTCGTCCATTTCCTTTTCCATTTCGGCTGATTTTCTGGGTACGGATAAACGTTTCTCGTCGATTTTATCATTTTTTTCGCGATTATTCATTCGGCTTCGTTCTTTTAAAACGCTCTTTCTGTATTCGCCCAAAGCCCTGCGCATTTTTTCCAAACTGTAAGCGGTTGCCAATTGGGATATAACGCGGTCTTTAACTTCTTGAATTTCTTTTGAATCGACGGCTCCTTCGTGAGCGCCCGTAAATTTAAGCGCGTCATCAACGATTGCGTATTCAATGTTTTTTAATTTAGTGTCCATTTCATTAATTTTTTCTTCGGTCGTTTTCTGGTTTGTGTCTTGTTTATCTCTTTTAGAGGCCATTGCTACGGCTTTATGATAACGTTCCATTAACCACTCGTTATCTAAGTTGTCTGATTTCTTTTTGCGGTCTATTCCAAAATAGTCGGACCAATCGATGGATTTCTTTTTTAGTTGAATCGGCTTTCCATCCCCTTTTTCCGCGTCGCTATCAGGGCGTTTTGTTGTTGATGTTGTGGATGTGGTTGTTGTTGAGGAAGTTGTAACCTGAGATTTTTTAGTTGTTTCGTTTTCGGAGACGTGCTCGGTCCGTTTTGGCTTGGTGACCGGCTTTTCAGTGGGGTGATGTTTATGTTCCGGGTTAAAAATGTTGCTTAGATCTTGCGCGACTTTGGGATCGGTTTTTGTTGGGGTTACCTCTTTTTTTGGTGATCTTTTCACCGGTTTGTTAAACTCGTTGGTGTAAGGGATTGGGTAATAATTGCTGCTGCTTCGTTTTGTTACCGGAAAACGTTTGGATATTGAGTAGTCGTCTTTATTGGGATAGTTAATTAAGTATAAGTAATCGGCGGCTTCGTTGGGTTTGTAACTGCGCTTTTTCATTCCGACAGAATCTAAACCTAAACCTGTATAATGATGTGGATGGCTCCGTTTTTTGATATCACCCTTATTCGCGTGGATTCCCATGTAATAATTTAAAATTTCCGGGTAATTCCTACCGTATTTCTCCCATAATTCGTGTAAAAACTCTAAGTAATCGGCGTTATCGTCGGAGCTATTAATCTCGTTCAAATCGCCGGAAGCTAAATTTTCAAATTTTTCTTTTTGTCGCGATTTATCTTCCTCGATGCGTTCCCGAAAAGCCGATGATATTATTTTATTGTCACCATCATCAGCAGAGTACTCGTAAATAGAATCTTTGTAATCTACAAGTTAGTATTTTGAAGGACGTTTGAAGGAGATGTCAATCTTAGAAATCTAAATTTAGTTATTACCTTGATTGTTTTTATCTGGAGAGTTGAGAAATGCGAGATCGTTACCATTTTCAGCCAAATATCGCTCGGGGTCATTGTAAAAGTCGTCGGAATACTTGGGATAATCGCCCAAATCTTGCTGGCGCTTGCTGATCGCGTTTAGGGCGCTTCGGAGCGACCCTTCCTCGGCTCGAATATGAGTTCCGGCAAACGACGCCAATATCATCAATAACTTGGCCGTGGAGAAATGCATGATTCTGTAAAAAACCGGCTTGGAGAAATGAATTTGAAAAATAGGCAGCTTACCTCCTTAAAAGTTTACCATAAACAGATATTCTCGTTTGGGGACTCGATGGTAAGTAAGTGATTCGCAGAGTAATTTCGCGATTTTATACCGGAAGTGCGCAGGACAGATCCCGTAATCAATAATTTGACGCAGGCCAAAAGCACTAACGATAAAACAGGCTCGCTTCGGTAATTAAAACTTTTCAGTAATCAATTAAACATTGAAATTTCTAATTGATTACGAGATGGAGTATGTTGCGCAACAAAAAATTTAATTAGGAAGTATGAGAAAAAAACCTTTTTATTAAAATTGTAGACATGATATTTATTAATTTCATGTTTTTCAAAAAAAGAAAAACAAATATACATTGATAAAATAACATATAAAAATAATAGGCTTGTTCAATATACAAAAAAAAATTATGTTATATAAAAAATGTTTAGAAAGAGGGTCTAGAAAGAATGTACAGCTAGAGGTCGTGTACGCAAGTAGTTAATGTAATAACCCTAAAATCCGCCAGATGTAATTAACTAACAATGGTAAGGTAAAGTGTAAGTACAACAATGGTATTATTTAATTTTTTAGCGTCCTCCTTCGATAAACACGTTTATAAACAATTACAGATTACAGACAACAACACCATGTACGCTAAACATAGTATAATAGTATTTAAATCACATCAACCAAACAAAGAAATAATCCTAATATGAAGGTTGCCTTTGTTTTTTATCACTAAGATCCGCTACTAGTAAATTGAAATTCATTAAAAGGAACTAAATCAAATCGCAAAATGTAAAATTCAAAGAGAAAAGAAACAATAATTATGGCATACAATCGGCAAACATTCCAACATATGATCATTTTTAATACAAGGCCACGTTCCTCGTTACGAGAGGAACGTCTTCGTTTCGATTTGAAACGAAGTTACTTAGCGTAAAATGACGTTATTTCATTTCAGAGAGAAAGGAAAGAAAAAGTAATTCAAATTTTGTACCGTCTATACAGCTACTAATAGTATAATAATGTAGTATTAGAGAGGAATGCGTTGACACACGCAGAAAAGGAATGGAACATGGAGTGTAGAAGGAACGCGAAGACTTCTGCACACCCATCAACTCACTATGGGTCTTAAGTTATCATCATATGCAACATGTTAATAACGACGACAAGAAATAGAAACCATGACGGTGATTTAAATAATAAATTCTTTTACTCGCGTTTCTGCATTTACTAGCCATAGAATAAGAAATAAAACAATTCTATATTTATATATATATATACACTGTATGTTGCATATATAACATTTTTATGCTCTGTTACTTTTCCAGAGATTTGAAAATGAATTCAAGCGGTTAACAGTCTAATATATCACAAATGAATAGGATTTATCCATCGCTAAATATCACATTTGTAGTTCGACATTTGCATAACTATTTATTTTTTTTATCTTTTTTTTTTAGGCCACCGTGAGCTTTCGGATGAGAGTTAAGGGACTAGGATACACAGGATTCGTCCGGTAACGTTTTACACGTGACGTTCAAGGTGCGAGGAATTGAAAGTCAGAAGTCCTCTTGTAGGTTATAAGGCAGGAGACTTACGAGAAGGACTTTTTACAAGTCAAACGGTGTGTAACGATCGAAAACGTTAAGAATCCCGTTTGCTTTTCTTTTAACAAAATAATAATCAAAGAAAACAAAACAACAAAAAAAATGGTTATCAAAAAATCCCATCTAATCGATCTAGCACTAAAAAATATCCACTACACATTGCAACGATACGACAAAAATTTTCTCTTAAAATCCTCATTTTTTTAATTGTTTTTATATTGACACCTATACTCAGTCGTGGTATCACGAGACGTCTCGGGAATAATATTAATAAAAGATGATATAAAAATAATTATAATTAAAATAAAAAAGAAATTATAACCAAATTAGCCCAATTTAATAAATGAAACATTGTTATTTACATACACGGTTAAGAATTGAAACCCAAGATAGTCTCAGCATGTGGATGTCGAAAAATACGTATTTTTTTGAGTATAGGTTTAACACAACTAGATTTGTAGAAAAATTGATGATCCCACCCATCCTGCGGCAGAGGCCCGTGCCGTCTGATTCCCACCCAAGGAACGCGATTGTCTTCTTAATCCCCGTGCATCGGTCACACATTGGGCTTTCAAACCCCGTACATCGTCGACAGTCGTTCGCTTAATTGAGGTGGAAATTGATCGCTAAAACGTCTCCAATTTTCCTCACCTACTTGAGCTTTAAATCCGTGCAATATCTTTAAAGTTATAAATTTATTTAATTTTTTTATTACTTCAATACAATATTAAGTCAAACTCTTTATTAATATAATAGAAAATTAATAACAATATAATATAAATAAATAAATAATATATAAGAAAAGAGTTTAACCTGTTATTATATGCCTTTAAATATATGCGTGATTTTAATAAGATATGAAAAAATGTTATTTGAAGGCATATTATTTATCTTTATAATATAGATATATTATAAAGTATTTAGTTTTTATTTACCTTAATGAATACTTCTCTAAGATCTTCTTTAGGTGCAACCCACGAAGCGACAGCGTCACAGAAAAAGATGAAATCTTGAACGACACCCGCTGGATTTACGGAAATCATGTGACACATCCCTCTGAAAGCACTATCCTTCTCTTCATTGTCACGTATATTACGTAAGGAGGTACACCTGAAAAGTTGTGGGGTGTCAATAAATATAAGAAAAATTTCGTAATAGTTGATATATCCGGTTTATCTATATAGTGTTTTTTGGACGTGTCGTCCCGTTCGACTGTTTCACTTTTTCAAGTTGAGAGAGATAGAGAGAGAAAAAGATAAAAAAACGGTAATAAATAAGATAAATGCAAACTTAGTATAAAGAATAAAAAGATTTTTTACACACCACTGTCGGACAAACTGATGTAACACAGGCGCGACATCGTGTGGGCAGACATAACCCAGGCGACCGATTGTAATGGCTACAGATCAACCACCGAGAACAAAAAAACAAACAAAAACCCCAACTGAATTAACGACAAATAATCACAATTATAGAAAAATATTAGCATTAATGGTAAATAAATATAAAAAGTAATATGGGCAAAGTTGTTGTAAAAATTGATAAAAAGGGAACAACCCTTTTTCCAAAAATAATTATAACGAAAATCATATTTAAATTAAAAAATTATTATATCAAGTACAAAACAAACGCCAACTAAAAAATGTATAGATTTCGATGTTTGTCTTCTTTGTCAATCCATTTTTTCGTCGATTATTTTTTGTCGCTTTTGTCGTTCCATTTTTATCAATCAAATCGTAAATACAACTTTGACGTTTCGAAATCGAAACGAAACGTCGAAAATCGTCTTACATATCTCTTTTCATCTTTATTTTATGCTACCAGAGAGATTCCTGTAGAAAATCAGATTTCTATTCTTTACTTTTTCATCACTATTGCGATAATAATGAAAAAGTAAGTAATAAAAAACAAAAAGGAAATTTTTAGTTTCATTTAAACGAGTTGGTCTACCTGTATTTTCTAACAAAGTTTTAGGGGTATTTGGTCTATTGATAATATCAATCAATTGATTCAACACAATAACAATGTATGGTCTGGTGTCTGCTCCTAAAAATTAAAATGTTGTGTTAAAAAATTGATTGATTAACAAAAAAATGTTTTACCTAATTTTATACTAATTTCTCCAATGGCCCAGGTGGCGTTATTGCATACAGATATATATTGGGGATTTAAATTTTGCCCAAGTATCGGCAAAAATTGAGGTATCCATGGTCGCACATGCTGGAAGCATGCCTTGGTTAGATCACCAAGCAACGCAAACGACGACTGTCGCACTTCCGGCATGGGATCTTGCATACAATGATGCAACAATTGCATTATGTTACTGTTCATCACCAACTTTTCAATATGTCCGTTTAATCCTTCCGCCAAACCCGACAACAAATCTAACGCCACGATCATAAAATCCTTATCAGGCGCGTCATATTGTTCCGGATTTTGAGTGTTTGCCATATGTTGATACAGGGTTTGTTGTACTAATGATACACATCTACGATACACTGGCTCACAGTATGGTAAGAAACCTGATTGCAATGCTGTTGCTACACTTGATAAACACTAAAACAAATAAATGTTAATTCAATGTTGTATACAGCGCAAAATTTGATTTAGCGGGTATTCCACCTTTAACTTTTTATGGTTTTACTGAATCCATCTTTTATGATTAAGTCATTTTGTTTATTGAAACCTTATTTATTAATAATTCAGAAAGAAAAAAGGAAAAATAGATAAAACATGAGAACAATTCTTCAAGTATGTACTTTGGCGCTTACATGGGACACCCAGTAGTGTTAAAAATCTATTACTAACAAGTCAAAGTAGGATACCCCCTTTAAAAGTATTAAACTTTGATATAAAAGGTACCTCAAGTAACGGAAATAAATCTTTATCTTCATCTTTAAGTACGTTCCATTTTTGTATAAGCGGTGGCATTAATAAGTTAATATAAGCTGGTTTATTAAGATGATGGCCGACGGAATCAGCTAAAGTTCCAATAGCATCGTAAAGTATCAACAAATTTTTGTGTTGGTATTTAGAAAATGCGAAAACTAACGTTTCGAGTATGAAACTTAAATAGGGTACTAATTCGGTGCAGGCTTCCTCTTCTAGCGTGGCGAAGGCGGAGCAAGCCGCTTCTTGCACCCTTTTATTGCTATCCAATATTCTTTTCAGTAATTCCGTCATTAACGGTTTTAAATATGAGTCGTGGGATTGCGAAACGACCCAATGTGAATAACGACTTAACGTCCAACATGTAATAGCTCTAACAAGAGCTTTTCTATCATTGAGACTATTTATTAAATACGGTATTAGTTCGGGTAAATGGTTTAACATCCCCGACATACACCCTTCCGCAATTGCGCCTAATGCTAAAATTCCAGATTCTTTTATTTCCCACTCTTGATGAAAAAGTGTTTCTTTTAGAATTGGTATTAATATAGGTAGTAGTTCCTCTCTGAATACGTTTGCTAATACATCTAAAGCGGCTGCACTGCACTTCCTCAAATTCCAATCTGATAATGAACTATCATCGTCTGCATCATCAAAATCTTCCTCATCTTCATCACCGTCTGTTGTTCCATTTTCATTCATCGTCGAACCATTAGCATTTGTGGCGCTCGCCGTTTTCATCATCGTATGAGTTTTTGATTTATGAAAACGTGGTCGAATATCTTCTTCTTTATCAGGTACAGCCTCATCTTCCTCAACATCACCCTAAATCAATTCATTAAGTATTAAGAGAAAAAAAATGATAAAATAACTAACCTTTAATAGAATAATATCGATTTCGGAATATTTCATTCCACGTACGAGTGTGGGAATTAACCTGTTTAAGTGATTAATCAAAACCTCTCTACATATAGGTTGTTCGGCCAACGATAGCCAAAATTCGCACGCCTCCAAAGCGACACCTTCGTCGTTATCTTGAGTTCTCATCAGCATGTATTCGATTATATCACCCATGTGGGGAATTAAACGATCCATACGCACTTCTAATAACATAACAAGCGCTCGACATACGTTTTTACGAACTTCCGGATCTTCGTCAGATGCGACGTGAAACAAATTCTATATAAATAAATTAAAAATTGGTATTAAAAAAATTTTTTATTAAAAAAATATTTTAAAAACTTCGTTATAACGGATTAATATGGGGAAGTTTTTAATTTCTGAATAATAACTAAAACTAGAGCTATTATTATTACTAGCTTAACACTAGTATTAGAAATAACATTAGAACTAGAAACATTCGGGTTTAGCCGTATTTGAGGAACGGTAATTTGGAGTGGTGTTTTTGAGGAGCGTACCGCTTCCATGCGATTTTTAAAACACCCGTTACAGAACGTTAGTAATATACTTACGTATTTGTAGTGAGTTAATTATGACAATTAGGGGTAGGGAATATATAATAAGAATTTTTCTAACTTGCTACGAAATAAAGCTGTTTTTGCTCAAGGTCACGTTATTTTGGAGCGGTATATTTGTGTAGAGACCGTTCCTGGAGCGCGAAACGGTTATGAGCGGTATTCCCATCATTAGTTCTAGGTTGAGTGTTAGTTCTAGTGATAGTGTTAGGTAGCGCTAGTAAGCCCTACATAGCGTTAGATTCGGGTTTAGCCGTCTTAAGAGACGTGCGGCTAAACCCGAATGATTCTAGTTCCAGGTGTAGTGTTAGTTCTAGTTTTACTTCAATATTAATATATAATCCTAGCGCTGACAGTGTTAGGTAGCGCTAGTAAGTCTTAGATAGCGCTAGATTGTATATTAATGTTGAAATAAAACTAGAACTAACACTAGACCTAGAACTAGAAATATTCGGGTTTAGCCGTCTTAAAAGGGTAACAAATCATCTCGGCTCTTCTTTTCT